TCGGTTTCTGTGGTTGCAATCGCAAAGATGTCATCAACGTAGCGATCATAATTTTTAAGCTTTTTGATCTGATCGCTTAGTTGAAATCTCTCTAGCTTGCCCATGAAGACGTCGGCTAAGAGAGGTCCAAGAGGCGAGCCCATGGCAACGCCTTCTATTTGTCTATAGAGTTGGTTGTCAAAAAGGAACTGCACATTTAATGTGCATCTTACTAATAGTTCCTTGAGTGTTTTCGTCGGTATTCCTATTTCTTGATGCCTGGCAGATAGAAAATCACAGATGTAGTCAACTGTCTCGGTGACCGGGACGTTTGTAAAAAGTGATGCGACGTCTAGTGAGAACATCATCATGCCGTCAAGGTTGAGGTCTTTAATGTCGTCAATGAATTGAAAGGTATCTCGATAGCTGCGTGGTGCCAGCTGATGTTGTATGGGCTTGAGCTTCTCTGCTAACCACTTAGCTATCGCATGATACGGGGAGTTCCGCATATCTAAAATCGGGCGAACCGGTAGGCCTTCCTTATGGATCTTAGGTAAACCATATAATCAAGGAATAGGTGTCCCGACTGGCCGGAGGTGTTCGAAGTCATGGTTACTTATGTGACCTCCTGTGTGGAGCCTTCTTAAACAGTCAGTCAATTTCGCCTCTGCGTCATCCGTGCAATCCTTCTCTTTATCTGTCTTTCTGAATTTCTTCTGGTCAGATAGTATGGACTCTATCTTCGCTACGTAGTCCGATCTGTTCATTATGACGACTCCTGTTCCCTTGTTAGGTCTAGTTACCAAGATCTCTTTGTTCTCTCGAAGTTCTTTTAATTTTTCGACTTGTGCTTTTGTCAGTAATCCTCGACTTTTTGGTCCTTTGTTTAGGTATTGGTATCTGCAATTCACTAGTGTGGATTTGAAGTGTTGGATACTGTCTGTGGAAACGGGCAATAGATCGAATGTTTGGTTCCAGAGGTTCTCGAACAAAATTTCCATACGGGAAGACGCGCTCCCGGTCATAATAATTTCTGCGCATAAATGCTTAAAGTCTGCTGCCAGATCAAAAAATTCGCGTTAGATGGCGATTTTCTTAAAAGAAGGGGGATTTTTTGCTATGTGAAATACTTACTCGCGTATCCAAACAACACCAAAATGGACGAAGATGGGGCGTACTGGATCACTAAAGTCATCATGGCTTTCAATCGGCTGCAGGCTTCCGTATGGAACGGTCCGGCCTGCAAATTAAAGCGAAACTCAAAGTATACATGGCAGGAATCCTGTCAACGTGGGCCGTCTACATTAATAAAGCCAGGAGACTCAGTCGTTCCATCTCGGCTGTTTCCGGAGAATGCTAAAGCCCGGGTAACAGGGCAGGAGGCCCAACGCGAAAGTCCTCGAACGGACCGAATACCTCAGCATCCACGCCGTGGTGAGGTAGTTAAATGTGCGTTGGGATGGCCACTTGAAAATGAACGACAAGTGGTTGCCCAAGCGAATTTTGCATGGGGGCGTCACTGCGGCAAGGAAGACAAAAGCGACACAGTAAGGACAGCTTGCGGACCTCCGTCAAGGATCCATACATCAATTCGGCATCTTGGGGTACTCGCCCAGAACCGAACGTCCTGGAGAAGAGCTGCGAAGACTTCTCTGTCAAGGCCTGAGGAGTAACACGCTAGTCACAGGCGCCGTAAACTCTCAACCGTTAAAGCCCATCACTTTCAACGTGTCCGCGCTCTCAACGAGTAGGTTGCCCATGGGTTAGACTCGCCGAATAACTCGGGGCTAGAGGAAATAACCACATCAGAAATCCGCCTCCTATCTCTGTAAACTCTTTCATCGTCAGCCTCCGCAGTACGCGCGACTGCGACAACCACCATCACCGTTGCGCACCCCCTCGCTGTTCCTCGCCGACCACCTGCCACACCACCACTGCCAAAACCCGCGTGATGGTGACTACCACTCCTTCCATTCCTCCCAACACTCCCGACGCCCCGTTAATCATCACCCCCATCACCAGGGATGCGGACTCGATCCTAATCTCTTCTCACTACGATCGCACCGCCTCATCAGACATCGGCCTAGTCGGCCACTTGCAAATCCGTCGCACTGACACTGGTCTCGACATATACCTGCCGCATTCCCCCAAAATGTCCGCAATTAACACTCACATTCACTCGTCGCATGAACCAACTCGGCCATTTGCTTACCCACGAGAGCGGAATTCACTGCAATGTTGACATGACAAATGCATCATACACACTCGTAAACTCTCCCATCTCTAGCATTACTAACTCTCCTCCAAAGGCGTTGCCACCACTAACAACATCATCATTGCAAACAAATAGCAACCGCCAGCTTGTGCCGTCCACACTGACACTGAACCAGTACACGACACACCGGTCTGACCGATGGCTTGAGAATCCATTGCACAGAGACCAGCGAACCGATGCCTGGAGCACCAAAATACGTCAATCACCACCGCCTCAGATGTCTGCACCGCCCACGCAAATTCAGCCAGCCCATCGCCCTACTCGGTCACATGCCTCTGTGCTAAATCCTGCGGTAAATTACCGCAGACTGAACCAAATCACTCCATACTTCCCATCAACACATGAACGCCCCCGACGTCACACACCACGGGCACGGACTTGTCATGCCTCACGCAATTCTAAAGTGTATTCTTCAGCTCCTCCATGTAGTCCGTACGCTACTCCAATACAAGGTGAGATTTGGTCAGCCCACCCGACTATGTAGCCTTCTGGAAGGCTATGTGTGGGACCGGGTTGTGTACGTGTGGCACACGTAGACAGGCTATTTTGGCTCTGTCAGTCACTGTGCCCAATGGCAGCATCAGTTAGTTACCCGACTCAGACAACTTATTGTCGAACTGGAGAGGTAAGAGTGTGAGGCTAACTTTAAGGAATACATTCCCTCGAGACTTCAGCAAATTCCCCACTATAATAAGTCTGACGCGTTGGAAACTATCCCAAAGCGTTAAATGCCGTGACTTAGGGGGTATCCAACTGATGGTACAGTTCCGATGTAGCAGTTAGGCCCGTGAGTGTGCTTGTGTACAGTGGTTGACTGACGAACTGAGAGTCAGGTCCAATGGCACCTCCCTAATCACGCCTCCATGATACTCTCATACGTGAGAGACCCAAGCCGCCCATTCCCCTTGTGTGAAACCCTGAGGTGTTGTACATGGGGTCGGGTCGTGCGTGTGTAGGTCTCCCATGCAAGTGGGAAGTGTGCGTCTGAGTTCCACCTCCATGCTGCTTGTTTGCCGCATGTGTAATTCGAGTTTGAGGCTATCACGGTGCATCAAGCGCTGTGGCTCGGAAGACTGCTGACTGACACCCCAACTCAGTCCACGCTGTCTATTCAGTTGTGTGTGTGTGTGTGTGTGTGTGTTTGTGCATGTGTGGAGTAGAGTGGCGGACTGGTGGGCCGAGAGGCAGGCCGAAATGGCTCCTTCTTAACGTGACCTACAGCACTCTCTCTCTCATAAGAGATGTATACAGCTCAACCCCCGACGTGTGAAATCCTGACGCTTGTGTTTGGGGGGCCAGGTCGTGCATGTCGTGCACGCAGACAAGCTCACTAGATATGCCAACCACCGCGCTCATTCCCCGAACCTGTCAAGTGACAGAATCGGACAGTGACTGGGCCCGGGAATGGGAAGGGAGAGTGAGGTTGATGGCTCAGCGTATCTCCCTAACTGTAAACAATCTGACGTCCTTGAAGATATCGCGGTGAGTTAAAAGCCGTGGCTTGGAAGGCTGCTGACTGACGGCTGACGTGGACCCCGCAGTCGATCCAGTGTTTTGTATTGGTGCGGAGCGGCTGATTTGTGGTCTTAGTCAGGCTGCAATGGCTCCTTCTTAATGCGGCCTTTACAACACTCCCACTCCGTAGGATCCGAGCCAGTTGCAACGGCACGCCTGGGTGCGGCCTCGGCGCGTCAGCCGCTCCTGTACTTGTTGGTTAAAATCCTGGTAACTTGTTCTGTGGACCAGGGGGTGTGGAGTTGAGCTCCAAATTGCGGATTCGACCTTGCCAGCCACCTGCGCCTTCCTCCGCTTCCGGTCTTCTTGACTATGTCTGGACACTGGGTCCAGGTGGGGGAGTGGAAGAGAGTGCGTTAGATGTCTACATGTCTACATTCACTATAAACCAAATCACGCACAGGTCACCGTCTTGTTCTCACCTTGCTGTGTAGCACACGGGGGACATCGTTCGAAAACTGTCACGTGTGTGTGTGTGTGTGTGCCCTCCAAACGGGCCACGTGTTAGATGCGCTGGACCAACACCGGGGCCATATCGGAATCTGGCAGGCGTTATCTGTGCGCAATAAAAAATGCCAACATTTGCGGGATGCGCTGGCGGACCCTGTTGTCGGCATTCGTCGCACAACTGGACCACTGCCACCACCCCATTGTTTTGTGGTCAAAATCCTGGTCATTTGTGTGTGGACCAGGGGGTGCGGAGTGGAGCGCCAAGGCGAGGATCCGTCCGAGCCATCCACCTGCGGCCTCCCTCGTCTCCTGTCTTCTTGACTCTGTCTTGACACCGGGCCCAGGCGGGGGAGGAGGAGAGAGTGTAGGTAAATGCAGCGCAAGTCTACCCGCACCATAAACCCCTGCCCAAGTCACCGTCCCTGCTCCCACCGTTGCAGCTGTGGGGCACACGGTGAACATCATCGAAATTGATGGTCGAACTGTCTTGTGTGTGTGTGTGTGTGTGCGCGCGTGTGTGTCTGTGTGCGTGTGTGTGACGTGGGATGTAGGGGTGTCAGCGGTGGGTTCACGTGATGGTCGTAGTGGTCGCTCACTTGCTTGCAGGTGATACTACGCCTAGCGTCCACATGCTGGCATCTAACTGTCACCTGCGGCTCCACGTTGCTGGGCTCTGCTCAGCGGCCACACCCCGGGCAACCGTCTCGACCGGCGGGCTAAACCAAGTGAGGGTATCCGTGCGTGCACCTGCACGCGCAGTAATGCGGTCTGCGCTGGCTGGATGGATCTTCGCGTCGACATCGTCGAGACGAGGCTCTGCCTGGACCATCGCAGGAGGCCACCAGGTAAGTTCTTCTTTAGGTAAGTGAATTTCCCTTGTTTCTTCCTTGTCTGTTGAAGTTCCGTGCAGCGTGCTGCTCTTGCTGCCTGCCCTCCATATGCTAGTCTGTCTGTTAATAGCTAGATGAAACTCTCGATGCCTGCTGCGACTGTCTGTCAGTCTATGCCTCTCTCTGCTAATAGCTAGGTGTTACGGTGCTTGACTTTGAGTGGTGCCCTCACTTTTGTCTCTGACTGATGACTGTGTCCGCTTGTTCACTCTAGTTCTACGTCCAAAAGCGTTAGGTTGTGTGTATGCTCTCTCCTACTTCACTCCATCACATCACCATCACCACCAAGGTCCCAGGCTAATTCGGGTCGTTCTCTCACTAACAAAAAGTCGTGGCCCATAGTGGAGTCCGGCAGCCGTCTGGGATAACCGGGCAGCCCTGTACAGGGATGCGTTGCCTGCCCTCGCGAGGGGGAGGGGGCTAGAAAAGTTGCCCTTAAGATCGCTGGGAACCACGCTGTCAGTAGGCTGGCCGTGGCCGCAGACAAAAAACACACGGTCGAAACAGCCAAAACCGAAACAATAACAACAATCACTCTCTTCCCCTTCCAGTCTATTCTTCTTCTTCTCCTCCTACTTTTCGCCGCCGCAGGCGCCAGACTGGCAGGGTGAGCCCGCTCACTCTGGCAGCCTGGAATGTTCGTTCCCTTTTAGACAATCCTAGGAGCAACCGACCGGAACGGAGGACGGCGCTAGTGGCACGGTAACTGGCACGCTACAAGGTGGACATCGCCGCACTCAGCGAGACCCGATTCTCCAAACAAGGCCAACTGGAGGAGGTGGGTGCCGGCTACACCTTCTTCTTGAGTGGTCGACCCAGGGCAGAGAGACGTGACGCTGGTGTCCCCTTCGCCATCCGGACCGACATCGTGGGACGACTGCCCTGTCTGCCGCAGGGAATCAACGATCGCCTGATGAGCCACCGTCTGCCTCTCCGGCGATGAGGCAAATTCGCCAACCCCGACGCCGTCAGAGACAAATTCTACGAGGACCTGCACGCCCTCTTGGCGACTGTGCCGAAGGCGGACAAGTTGATTGTCCTTGGCGACTTCAACGCCCGCGTCGGCACAGACCATACTGCCTGGAGAGGAGTGCTCGGTCCCCACGGTCTCCACGGCTCCAACGACAATGGTCTGCTGCTTCTCCGCACCTGCGCAGAACACCGCCTCATCCTGACGAACACGTTCTTATGTCTGCCGGAGCGAGAGAAGGCCACCTGGAGGCATCCTCGGTCGCGCCAGTGGCACCTGCTGGACTATGTCCTCGTCCGGAGGCGAGATCAGCGGGACGTGCTTGTGACGAAGGCGATCGCGGGTGCTGACGGGTGGACCGACCATCGCCTCGTCACCTCGAAGATGCGTATTCGCCTACAGCCTGGCAGGAGACCACAAGGTAAGCGACCCCCAGGTAATCTGAATGTTGCTTTGTTGTCTTTGCCCGCTCACCATCTTCATTTCAGCAACGAGCTAGCTCAACGGCTAGACAACCTTCCAATTGCTGCCGCCGACGACGCCGCCGCCACTGCCGAGAACGCCTCCGTGGAGAACCGCTGGTGACAACTGCGAGCCACGGTCCAGTCGACGGCGTTCGCCGTCCTCGGTCGCACTCCCTGCCAACACCAGGACTGGTTCGACGACAACGACGCCGCCATCAGAAATCTGCTCGCCGAGAAGAACCGCCTACACAAAGCCTACGTAGATCACCCCACTGATGCCACCAAAGCTGCCTTCAACCGCAGTCGCCGCCAACTTCAGCAACGTCTGCGCGAGATGCAGGACGCCTGGACTGCTCGCAAGGCTGAGGAGATCCAAGGGTACGCGGACCGCAACGAATGGAAGAACTTCTTCTCCGCGATCAAAGCTGTCTACGGTCCGCCGACGAAGGGCACTGCTCCTCGCCTCAGCGCCGACGGCAACACTCACCTGACTGAGAAGACGCGGATCCTACAGCGATGGGCCGAGCATTTCCGAGGCGTCCTCAACCGCCCCTCTGCCATCTCCGACGCCGCCATCGCCCGCTTGCCGCAAGTGGAGACCAACGTGGATCTCGACCTCCCGCCATCTCTCCAGGAGACCATCAGGGCCGTGCAGCAGCTCTCCAGCGGGAAAGCACCCAGATCGGACGCAATCCCTGCTGAGGTCTACAAGCACGGAGGTCCCCAACTCATGGATCACCTGACTGCGCTCTTCCAGGAGATGTGGCGTCAAGGGGAGGTCCCGCAAGATTTCAACGACGCAACCATCGTGCATCTCTACAAGCGAAAAGGGAATCGCCAAGTCTGCGACGACCACCGCGGCATCTCCTTGGTAAACATCGCCGGGAAGATCTTCGCCCGCATCCTTCTCAACCGCCTCAATAACCATCTGGAACAGGGCCTTCTGCCGGAAAGCCAATGCCGGTCAACTTCAAGAGAAGTGTCAGGAGATGCGGACCCACCTGTGCTCTACATTCGTGGACCTGACGAAAGCCTTCGACATGGTGAATCGTGAAGGACTGTGGAAGATCATGCAGAAATTCGGCTGTCCGGAGCGATTCACTCAGATGGTGCGTCAGCTGCACGACGGTATGATGGCGCGAGTCACGGACAACGGAGCTGTCTCAGAGGCATTCACAGTGACCAACGGAGTAAGGCTGGGCTGCGTGCTGACGCCTACTCTCTTCAGCCTTATGTTCTCTGCCATGCTGATGGACTCCTACCGCGACGAACGCCCCGGGATTCGGGTCGCCTACAGGACGGACGGTCACCTGCTGAATCAACGGCGGATGCACTTCCAATCGCGCGTATCCACAACCACCGTTCACGAACTCCTCTTCGCCGACGACTATGACCTGAACACCACCTCGGAAGAGGAGATGCAACGCAGCATGGACCTGTTCTCCGCCGCCTGCGAGAACTTCGATCTGGTCATTAACACGCAGAAGACGGTGGTGATGCACCAACCGCCACCCAACTCAGCCACAGCCCCCAACGCGCCGCCGCAAATCAGCGTGAACGGAACCAAACTGCAAGTGGTGGAGAACTTCCCGTACCTGGGCAGTACTCTCTCCCGCAACACCAAGATCGATGAGGAAGTCGCCAACAGGATCTCGAAAGCCAGTCAAGCCTTCGGTCGCCTCCAAAGCACAGTGTGGAATCGCCACGGTCTTCAGCTGAGCACGAAGCTAAAGATTTACAAGGCCGTCATCCTGCCGACACTACTGTATGAAGCGGAGACTTGGACGGTGTACACAAAGCAGGCACGCCGACTGAACCACTACCACCTCAGTTGCCTTTGTCGCATCCTGCGGCTGAACTGGCAGGATCGAATCCCCGACACGGAAGTACAGGAACGAACGGGAATCCTCAGCATCTTCGCCATACTGAGACAAATGCTGCTGCGCTGGAGCGGCCACCTGGTGCGCATGGACGACGAGCGACTACTCAAACGACTCTTCTACGGAGGCGTTGCGACGGCTTCTCCCCGTCAAGGAGGCCAAATTCGCTGTTAAAAGGATACCCTGAAGTCCTCCCTGAAGCGTCTGCAAATCAACCTGACCAACTGGGAAGAGCTCGCACTCGATCGACCGACCTGGAGGAGGACAGTGAAGACAGGCGTTCCGATCTACGAAGTCAATCGCATCGCTGTCGCCAAAGCGAAAAGCGAAGGCCGCAAATCACAACTTCGCCCAGTACGCAACGTCGCCGCACAACCGCTTCCAACGTGTCCTCGATGTCAACGGACATTCCGGGCTCGAATTGGACTTGTCGGACATCTTCGGATCAACTGCACCTCTCGAACTGCCCCAACCATCGTCCCCCCGCCCGCCTCTTCCTCAGCCTCTCCGCCGCCAACTAACTCTGACAATTCTTCTGAACCACCACCACTTCCATCCATCCATCCTACTCCTCCATATCATCCTCATCCACTGCTCCAACGACGGCCGCTCAGGCGACTGCCACGCGCGCAACAACGGACACCACCACAACCACCACCACCACCACCCCCCCGACTCCAGCGATGAGGATCAGGACTACACCTGCCCTCACTGCGACCGCACCTTCACCTCACACATCGGCCTGGTCGGTCACTTGCGAATCCATCGCACAGAGACTGGCGAACCAGTGTCTGGAGCACCAACCTACACCCACCGCATTCGCCTCCACTGCCCACACTGCCCTCGAACCCTCACACATCGCATGGGCCTATTCGGCCACATGCGCATCCACGACGACCTGCGGTAGACAACCGCCGGCCACACTACACATTCACTCACTCCCTACCTTCTCCTCCTCCTCCTCCTCCTCCTCCTCCTCCACCACCACCAGCACCACCACCATCACCCCACCACACATAAATACTCCCACATCTCATGCTCCCAACTGTCACCTACCGCGCAAGTGGGAAGTGTGCATCTCGACTCGGTTCCCACGCGGCTTCGGCTGTACGGGTGATTTGAGTCCGAGACTATCCCGACGCTTAAAGTGTCGTGGGTAGGAAGGTTGCTGATTGACGCCCGCTCTCGGCTCACGCAGTTCGTCGCGTTGTGTGTGTGTGTTGTGTGGAGTGGCGGACTGGTGGGCCGGGGACGGGCTGAAGCAGCACCTTCCACGGCACTCTCACGCAAGTGAGAGACAAGCCGCTCAACCCCCGTTGTGTGAAATCCTGGTGTTTGTGTGTATGGGGTGCCAGGTCGTGCTGTGGCGCGCGCAGGCATGGTCAGTCGACCGTGTCAGCCACCGCGCCCATTTCCCACTACAGTCTGCTGACCGGCTCGGACAGCGGCTGGGGTGTGGGATGGGAAGGGAGAGTGAGATCGACGACTCAGCGCATTTTCCTCACTATTAACAATCTGACGCGCTTGAAGCTATCACGGTGCGCTAAAAGCCGTGGCTTGGAAGGAGGTTGCCAACTGACGGGGTAACTTGGACCTCCTCCTTCACTGGAGGCGGTCTGAGAGTCAGGCTGCAATGGCTCCTTTTTAATGTGGCCTTTATGGCATTCCCACCACAGCGTGGGATCCGAGCCAGGCGTCCTCGGCATGCCTAGGTGCGGCTTCGGCCGTGCCAGCCTCCAAATCTCTGTTGTGTTGGTTGAAATCCTGGTTATTGTTGTGTGGACCAGGGGGTGTGGTGGAACGCCAAGGTGAGGATCCGTCCGAGCCATCCACCTGCGGCCCCCCTCGTCTCCGGTCTTCTTGACTCTGTCTTGACACCGGGCTCAGGCGGGGAGGAGAGAGTGTAGGTAGATGCTACGCAAGTCTACTGGCACTATAAACCCCTGCGTAAGTCACCGTCCCTGCTCCCATTTCTGCTGGAACTGTGGGGCACACGGTGGACATCATCGAAATCGATGGTCGAACTGTTGTGTTTGTCACGTACAGACGGGCTTTCAAACCGTCACCGCGCCCAAATTCCGCAATATATGACTAACTGGTTCAGACACCGTACTGATATCGGCAAGTAAAAGAGAAAGAGCAAGGTCCACTCTGGCGACTGCGGCCCCATGGTAATCACTACATACCTACCATACCACGTAGAAAGCACCGGTTCTCGTCCAATCACTACATACTCCTCATTATAAACAACCTGACGTGTAGCAAAGAATCTGAACGTGCGATCACTGAAACAGTATATGTATTAGCCTGAGCTTTCGGTCTCATACAGGAGGCTACCATTTAGACTGAGAATGCAACGTCAAATGAGCAGTTTTGTAGTTAAATAAAGAGGAGAGGTAGGGGTGAAGGGTGTGATATTCGCGATCACGCTAAGTCCACGTAGTCCAACGGCGTAGTGACGGCGTGCACCCTTGGCTGCGAATGGGGTCATGTCTCCTAGCCGTGAGAACGAAGCGCGTGATAGCACGGGGTTTATCAAGGTTTCTGTTGATGGAGTTGGTGTCAGATGCCCAGGCCTCCAGCAGCTCTCGCCCTTGTCTTATTGCTGGCTGGCGCCATCATCCACGTGCTCGAGAAGTTAAATTCGTGGCCCTCTCCCAGGGTGTGAATGGCGACCTGAAACAATGGGTCATCTCTCTGGACTGCTCATTTGTGCTCCAGTATTCGCGAGCTAAGTCATCGTCTGGCATGCTCTGCATAATGACGAGGACAGTCACGGCGTGGAATCCGATAAGCGACGCCAGACTGCTCTCCTCCGTTCAGCTGGTTCATCATCTGCATGATTCTGGTACGCGCGGTGACTGTTGGACGATAAGCGACATTTACTCTAAGCACTGCAGTAATGCGCTTCGTTGCTTCTGACATGTCCTTTATTTATGATAGAATGTTGGTGGTTCGCCGTTTGCTTCCGGTTGGCGCGTACGAAGGCAGCGGCTGAAGGAGCTGTTTAAATATCTCTTCCTTGCCATTTGTTCTCGAAGGTGCCGTACTCGTCCCTCCGGTTCACTGCAATGCGTTTGTATCGTTTGGAAGAGTGCCTTAACACGGCCTGAGTTTATGCGCCGTTGGGTGCTTCCTATGGTAGCTGAGAACCTAAATCATGTTAGTCTCTTTGCCATACACCAAGGTGCCGAGTTCTCCATTGGGTTTGCATGTGACGTGGACGTCGAAGGAAGGCAACTGTTCGGAGGTCCCTTCTTCCCTTGTGAACTGAATGTCGGGGAAGATGCCGATGAGCAGGTCTTGAAAGCCTGCTGGTCTGCTCCTTCCTAGAATAACAAACGTGATTTCCATTTATCGGCGGCAAAACGCAGGTTCATGGTAGTTAAAGTCGACTTTTTGTATCTCTTGTGCGTCTTCCTTCTGTGAAACTATCGGGATTTAAGTCTCCACATTGCGCCAAAGGCCGTGGTTAGGAAGTTTGCCGACTGACGGGACAACTCGGTCCTGCTCTAAGGGCAGAGTAGCAGGCTGCAGTGACTCCTTATTGCACTTTTTATGGCACTTCTACTCATTTCGAACCCTAGCCAACTCCTTCCCCTTTTGATGGACACTGATCCATCGAGCGCGGAACGGGTGTGCTTGGCACGCACAGACAGGTTGTTCAGCCCTACAGCCGATGCGCCTGAACTGGCGTCTGGCCTCGTTGACCTTGTCTTGACACTCGGTTCGCAGGGATGAAGGAAGAGAGGGTGCGATAGGTGCAGCGAAAGTATATCATCATTATAAACTAATTCACACGCAAGTCACAACCACAGTGTTTAATATGCCATGGAGGACATGGCGTACGACGTTGGCGAGGACAATTGGGATATCAGAGCACGTAACACATTTTTCCCTAGAATCCGTTTTGCATTGGCATTTATAAACTGGTATTTTCAGCTCAGTTTTGACTACTGGCATTTTCTACATTGCGTTCTGTGAAAGACCCTGTGTGCTCATACGGACATTAACAGCCTACGCGAAATGTGTTTGCATATATGTCACTATTTGCATATCTGTGCTTGCATTTTGGACCACTCCTATGAGTTTTCACTGTAACCGAACATCCGAGGTCCTTGACGATTCGTCAATACGAAATAAGGTTGGTTGCGATCCCTATTCATAGTCGCTTTTGAATGACCATTAATTACTCGTTTTATTTTCCCAAATCTTGTGGGTACACATTTGTACCGTTAAAAAAATCATAGCGTTTGAACCAGGCGAGGTCCACATTTACAAGTACAAAGTCTCCGAATGATAGCATAGCTTTAAACTTCTGACGCTGATGACTAGAATATTATACGTTAGGATGTCGGTCGATGATTGGGCCTACGTGCCTTATAACTACCGCTTGTCCTGTTTCTGCCACTACCTCTGACGATGGACTCTTGTACGAGTCTGAAAGCTCAGGATAATAAACGAAGTGTTCTGGTGCTCGACTCTTCTTCTTCACTTATGTTAAGCTAACTCGTAAAGAAAACAGTGAGAGAAAAGAGCCTTTAGTAACTTGAACAGTCATCACGCCGGCTCGATACGAATCGATATTAAGACCTGATATTCGATTATAAAGGAATTCGAAATCACCACTCCCGTTGGCAGTTAAATTTACTGAATTATTCCCATAGCTTACTGAATAATCTTAAGGGTGTGCAGTGCATTTTCGGAAGTCAAAACTCCTTTTCCCATGAGTTGGCTTACGAACGCATTTGCGGTAATCTGTTAAACTGCAACCGCCATCGATTTCTTTGAGCACTATAACCAGTGCTGGATTCATACATTTAAAAATACCTCGTCTTCAGTTCTTAAGCAACATACCCGGTATGCTGATCCATGAATAATTAAAGACAAAGCATTAGCAGACACTCAAACGCCTATGGACAACTTTCAGCTATCAAAGGCAGCATAAACTCAGTTGCCATAATTAGGAGCGCCCACCTGGGGCGTGCCCGCATCTTAATTATTTATGACCGGTTCTGTCTGGTTTATTGCTTAAGTGAGCCATTTGTGTCTTTTCTTACTCAGCGGTTGGCAAACCGGCTTAATCCCACAGGATGTAAGCTTAAAGCATATGCTTGTGCGCAAACGAGCTCATGACCGACAAAATCCAGACTCTTCTAACGGGATTAAACATAACTATCAGGTCATCCAACGCTGCTAAGTATATTACAGGCTCGACCATATCTGTTGTCCAAGATCCTTCCGACTGCTTTTTTAGATATGATTCGCAACAGTTACAGTTTGTGCGCAAAACTAGTTAGATATTTAAAAAGATCTTGGGAAGAACGGTCAAAAAACGACCAAAGAAATCGCTTTTTACTAAAAGCCATGTTGTAAACTCTATGTATTCTTAGTAGTTTAGCCCTCGGGACAGAATAAGAAGACAATCTCCTGCGGTGAAGACATAGCTCAAGATTTTAAAGGGGACGATCAAGCCACAGGTGCCGTTTAAATGAGTGACTACACATATTTCAAAGTAAAAATTTACCTGTATATTTTCCGAGTGCACGTAAACATACACATCGAGTCACACCCAGCCCTCCAAAAGGAAATAATTTATTTATATCCGCCGGCTCTATGCTATTTTGGCATTTTCACCACTTTGTAAAGTAACAAAGGGAAAATATTTAAATTTGGCTCCCTTTTATCTCTGCACTTTGATGGCCGCGGTCAGACCGGACATCATATTAATTTTCCCTACTACTGACACATGTAATCGTTTTCACAGACAAATGGGTTGGATAGGTCATGTAGCCACACCTGAAGTAAACAAACCCCAGTCACCTATTAGGGGACCCGTGGTAATAGGGCTTTTTACAGTTAGGGTCCAGGGGACGCACAGGCGACGAGGCCAAGTAGTTGTATGCAAAAGAAAAGCTTTGAGAATGAACGGTTGTATTTTGAGTGGTTGAGATATAGTTGTCCTAACCCCTAACTCCAACCCTTGACCCTCACACCCAACCATAACCCCTAACCCCGGCCCTTAACACCAACCCAAGCAGTATTGTATCCATCAAGTGGGGTTATCAAACCACATCTTACCGTCAAGTGAATTGACAAAATATGCGGATTTGCTCGCATTATAAGAATTTTTAGTGTTAATTGGGAAGTTTGCATGCAACGAAAATCTTAATGTGTCTGTTGATAAATTCTTCATAGAAGTCTGTCAAAACTTGCATAATGTTTTGTCTTCGAAAGCATAAGTGGGTTTGTGATCAATATATCAGCAAATCGGATTCGCACACATGAAGTATTGCGAAAAAATCATCGCTCTACGTAATAATAGTCAACCGAATTCACTAATAAGGCTCTGATTACTTTCTGTATTTTATTTCTCCCGTCTCTGGGAATTTTACTTAAAACCATGGAAGCGTTGGATCCACATCTTCTGTCCCCAATTGCTTCTTTTACTTTGTGCCAGTAAATACAGATAAAGAGCCAAGTGTTTTGAAAATACTAAAGTGCCACGACATTTGAACCATTATTTATGTTGCGCACTCAAAGAAACGTTTGATAATTCGTTTCGGAAAAATATATTTCAATAACCGGTTTTAGGATAATTCGCTCTACCTGCTATATTTTGTGAGTTACCTGGCAACCTAAAAGTGATCTTTGAGGGTCACAGAAGCCAATATGGGAGGGGGGGGGGAGGAAATTTAACATTCAAAAGAAGGTCGCAGAATATCGTCCGACGCTTCTGCACCGCTTTTCCAACAGTGAAGAGCAGTGATCATTGTACGCAAGGATTCGGAAGAATCCTCCGAGTTTGAAGACAATCACTGAGCTGGTTAATTCACCTCTCATAGTCTATTTGTAATTACAAAAGTAGTGAATTTGAAAGGGTCACTTCCGGTTTTGTTCTGAGCAAGGTTTATTTACGTATACCGTACTACTTAGATAAAAGGCGACAAAAACCTCCAGTCTGGTCCTGTAAGACTTGAATTCGATTGCCATAGAATAATCGGAATGAAATTTGCAGGCCTAACGGAGGACGGCTTCTACGCTTTTTGAGGCGTCATGCAGTTTGAGAAGATCCAAAGGAAAAGTCTGAGACGAGGCCTGTTAGAGAAAACCAGACTATTTACGTAACGTTCGGTCTAAAAAACCTGTTGGGTCCTAGAGGATATCGTGCGCATATAGTTTAGAATATGTCTCATCGAAATCGACAGCTGTTAGTTGTGGTCGGCATTCAGGACGAAATCCTTCACATATGGCATTACTGTCATATGTCAGTGTATTTATCCAATTCCAAAAACAGTTTCTGAGCGCAACACCAGTCAGCATTAATTGATATAGGGCTTGATCCTTTTCTGTTGCTGTGACCACGGCTGCTTTTCTGTCAACTTTGAACTTACTACCAAGGCAAAATAGTATCACCTACGAGGAGGTACCCAAGAGAGCATTATTTTCTGTGGACAACTGGGTTGGTTGTGCTGTCCTCTCCCGCAAAGTACGTCTATCATACACACTTCCTGCTCATTTGGCTAAGTAGCGTTCATGAGAAACCATCCCAGCAGCTAGATTTATTGCCTTGTTAAGCCCACTTCAAACGCTCTCAGTGATTTCACAAGGACAAACTTTAAGGAGCAACACGCAAGCATCAAATTCTGTTTTTTGTCCATAATAATTTGTTTTCTCGACATCGAATGAATCATTTCTGTTGCATTTGTTCTTCATCGCACCACAATGAACCAGCACCGCCAGATGCACGTACCGAAGCAGTTGCGTGAGGCAGTGAGAACTAATGTCCTGAATTGTTGCTATCGGGTGCCTGGCCGCTTCACCAGGACAACATGCCTGCACAACCAGCATTCTAAATCGACCAGTTTTTTGAAAAAAATGGCATGACAACAGTTCCCCACCCCCTGCACTCGCCGACATAGTCCTCTCTACGTGCAAGGAAAAACCTGAAGAGACAGCGTTTTCAGAATGTAGAAGAAGGTAAGAAAAATCTCTGGAGTCACTTAACGGCATTAGGCCAGAAGAATTTAAAAGTATTCCGAACAGGAAAAAACCCGTTGGGACAAGCAAGTATCATATAGTGGTCGGCATTTTAACGGGAAGTAAAGTTCTTAAGATGCCATCTTAAATAAAAAATTAAATCAATAATTCTCTGTTCTTTGTATACGCCCTCATACGCAAGGTATGCTTTTGTTCTTACATTCATTGACGTCACTTTGATTTTTGGTACTCGAAAACGGACTGTTATTCAGCAGTGCACAACTGAGTGATTGGGACGTAAGTTAACTGCGGTCCGGCCTTTGCAAATTTTTTTGCTGTTAACACTGCCTAGTAGGTCTCAGTCAATTGCGTCTATATTAAAAGAACTCAAAAGAACTGACCGACATAAAAGGATCACTTTTCTTATAAAATTTTGTCGAAGTCACTAAAAACGGTTTCATTGCCAGCAGGTGGCGTTTGGTTGATTGAGAGGAAGGTGTCTCGATCGCTGCAACAGTATTTTTTTCGTCGGACCTTCCAGCTCTACACTCCTCGGGCCCCCATTTTCCCCTCCAGCTGTGACACAGCTCTACCTTACCCTCACTGCCAGTTACTGCCTCGACCTCCCCTTTATTTACACATTCCCATTTATGGAAAGACGAACCCAGATCGATTTATCTTATCGTTCACACGTTTTACTTTGTACTTCGTCCACATATAAATGTACTGGCTCGACGCGAATTTATCGAAAGCACGTGTGAGCTCGCCAGGTGGTCTTCTGAATTGCTCCATGGGAATTCTCACAACTCTAAATTCTCATCTGTTGGACATTAAATGACCACCAAGGCAGTTCGAATTAAACTGAATAGACTAAACTTAAAGGCAAAATGGATCCCTTGAATTGGGTCGTATCTTCGGTAAAGTGAATGTGACTTGCAAAAATGTAGTAGCTAAGAATATAATGAATTACAACACGGTTAATGGTCATGCTATTCCGGCCATCTGCACCCAAGCCGTATCTCTGAAAGAACTTTTTTGAAATTGAAGTAGCGACAAAGGGTTTCTACTGGTACCAAGTGGATGCCAAACGGCACGCTAGTTTGTTCTGCCCACATTTTCGTAATATTATAATGGCGATACGTTAAGCATTAACAGATTCTCAAGGTACGTTCACTGGGTGGAGCATGGGAACGTGGACCTCCGCATATTGCGGACGACCTTGCACCTCGTTTCTGGAAGATTAGGGTCAGGATTCAGTTTAGGGTAATGCGATTCAGTTTAAGGGTTAGACTTGGGACCCGGGAATATGCAGACCCTGGAACCTAACGCAAGACTAGTAGGGGATCCAAACGCCCATGCCTAAGCTTTTTCTGATAGTATTTTTGCAGAACGTTTATAGCAATGATAAAAAGGGAAAAAGGAACGAGTATTTTTATTAAAGTAACATGGTAAAACGTACATAAGTCCGTTCACCCAATGTCTGTAGCACGTTTTTCGGCACATTGAGGTATTACTTGAAAAAACCGTTCGACAACATAAGCTGCCAGCTAATTTAAAGAGGTCCACTTTATAGACCTTTAGCGGGAAAGATGTGTGCCGGTGACATGTAAGGGTAAAAAATTTGACTCGATGTGGATTCAAAAACAGCAACGCGTTTGCTCCTGATGGATGACCGCAGTAAGCGCTTTTCTTATGTGAGGGTGAATGTAGGCGGGATTCCCTTTTTAGGTCTTGAATATGCAATTTCTCGACAGAATAATTTCTGTACCAGTAAACGTTTTATTTAACTGTCGGTCGGCAGGAACTACCTAACCCATTCTTTGGATGCTCTTTCTGGAAAGAACTTCGAAGCGTGCTGTCTGATCAACTGCAATTCGGCCAAAGGGACGGAGTCTAAACACTTGTTTGTTTTTGGTTTAAGCAAGCAGGAAAGTGTCCCCACACACTGTGCTTTAATAATTGTATTACGTTACTATGTTCAACCCCCGTTGTGTGAAATCCAGGTGTTGTGTGTATTGGGGGCCAGGTCGTGCCGCGGCGCGCGCAGTTTTGGTCAGTCGACCATGACATCCACCGCGCCGTTTCCCCGCTACAGTCTGCTGACCGGCTCAGACAGCGGCTGGGGTGGGAGTGGGAAGGGAGAGTGAGGTCGACGACTCAGTGCACTTTCTCCTTACTATAAACAATCTGACACACTTGAAGCTATCACGGTGCGCTAAAAGCCCTGGCTTGGAAGGAGGTTGCCAACTGACGGGGTAACTTGGACCTCCTCCTTCACTGGAGGCGGTCTGAGAGTCAGGCTGCAATGGCTCCTTTTTAATGTGGCCTTTATGGCATTCCAACCACAGTGTGGGATCCGAGCCAGGCGTCGGCGGCACGCCCAGGTGCGGCTTCGGCCGTGCCAGCCTCCAAATCTCTGTTGTGTTGGTTGAAATCCTGGTCATTTGTTGTGTGGACCAGGGGGTGTGGTGGAACGCCAAGGTGAGGATCCGTCCGAGCCATCCACCTGCGGCCCCCCTCGTCTCCGGTCTTCTTGACTCTGTCTTGACACCGGGCTCAGGCGGGGAGGAGAGAGTGTAGGTAGATGCTACGCAAGTCTACCGGCACTATAAACCCCTGCGTAAGTCACCGTCCATGCTCCCATTTCTGCTGGAACTGTGGGGCACACGGTGGACATCATCGAAATCGATGGTCGAACTGTCATGTTACTATGTGTAATTTGTCAACTGAGTTTCAGCATAGAATCGGATGAGCAGGTGTTGCCTCTTGCCATGGTTCAAAATGTGAATATTCGAAGCTGCACATTTTGGAATTGTTTTTTAGCAGGTGGGGGTTATTGGGTACCCAGGTAATTGCCTCTTTGCACTGCGAATTATTCATTAACAAATATACAAGACCAACTAAATAACAAGTGAAATATGCTGAAATAGTCGTTTTTGCCTATCAGATTTTATGACTAAGCTGCGCTTGTGGTTATGCAGGTCAGGATAGAAGATGGTCGGAATCACTGACTGCGTGATGACAAACCGGCAGTGCGAAGATGTAACCAGTTGGCGACATGATTGCCCACTCCCAGATTATGACATTAATTTATCCGTCGCTGGTTTAATTGGCGAGCCCGTCAGCAGGGCATTCAAAGGCCTTGTAGAAGCCTGTAATTCTGACGAGAATTCATTGACTGACACACTGATCTGCTATCCGCAAAACAAGTCCAGCAAGTGCAATGTTGCATAGTTGGAGCGGCTTTTGGATACCTGAGGAGAGCAGTAAATTGTGCTATTTAGGTGGTGCTCCCTTTTTCTTTGATGATCGACTCTTTGCAAGGCCGATTTTGTTCTCTTTCTCCTTAGCGCAGTACTGTCCTGGGATTCAAAAGACGAAAATGACCTTCCAGGCCAACAACAGGGACGATTTAAACGGCCTTATCCCCAAAATTTATATAACTAGAACTTTTTACAAAATAACTCTTATACTACGGTAACGCGGCACTGCCTGCCTTCCCTAGTCTATTCACACCGAATTGCCTTAATGCATGAGTGCAGAAATAATATAGTAAATCAAACGTTCAACTCGGCTGCCTGTTATGCAACTGTCGTTCTGGCGCACCGTTGATTCATGCATTCTTCCTTCGATCTCTTATTGCTCTCTGATACTGTTTTGTACATTTAAAAAAGTCATATTTGTGCACCCAAGCGCATGAGAAGGTCGGCGTCAGCCTCGCTTCCATCGTACAAGAGGACTCCCTGAGCGATTCCGCGGACTAATAATTAGGTCAGACGTAAGGCCTGATGTGGTTTAAAGGAGTTCGTCTACAAGCATTACACACCCGCACGATAGCACTTAAGACCCAACAAAAACTTCTTACAGGTCGGCCAACGCACGGAGTAAACGAAAGTTGGTTCCATCCTGGTCTAGCGTCTCCTGGGACAGTGGAATCAACAATTCTCTTCAAGCATGGAAAATATTTGCCAGTCGTAAATATATGACTTGATTTCCTAGTGTTCAGAGCTGAAGAGAAAAACGATTCTTGTAATAAGATTGACGGGCCTGAAATAGGCAGGACATTGCTTGATACGGTTTGGAAAGGAGTAGTTATATACGGAAAATTAAAGTGTTTACTCTTCAATTAATAGTTGGCTATTGTTTGCGTCCCTCGGGAAGTCCATTTCCGTGGTTTTAATTGCAGGCACCAAAAATCAAAATGTGGCTGTAGTGCGACCGGATATTCCTATTTCTACCGCACTTTACTTGCCAGACGCTAACAAGCTCTTCTCAAAGTTCGAATTTATATAAAATCATTTTTGTTCAAAATCGTTCGTGGATACCTTTTATGATGTGATATGATACTAACGAAGGGGAAGACTTTACACTTTGGTAGGGGGCGCTCACCGATCGTTCTTACGCAACTCCCACGTTCCGTTGTGCCTTACGGGCTTTCACTCGAGCACGACCAGCAGCCGCACAGCGGCGCATGATATGGGCAGTATGTTATTACCGAAAAAGACAAGGGAGACTGGAATGGCCATTTCTGGCCTATTAGTCGTCGTCAGCCAGTCATACCCAACCCCGAAGTGTGGAACACACGAGGCTCGAACTCGCGACCTGTTAGTTAGAAGTCCACGCCTCTAACCACTGGGCCACGAACACTTTGCCCTGCCGGTTTCGATCGGGAATATACAATGGTAGGGGAGACTTTAAAATTTCTAAAGGGATATTTATACCAAAATAAACTCAAATTACTTCAAATAGGGTCTCTAATGCATTGACATTCTTTTTGAATTATTTATTCCGAATTGCGAGTCATAGTTCTTCAGATTAACCAACAACATTTTTCAGATTAAACTTCGAGTCTCTATGTTCCTCTATCTAAGTTACCACAGTCTACAAACGTGATGGTTTACTGAGACTATTTTCATTTAACCTTCATGCAACGAAATTTCCAAAAAATATAAAAGATTTTTTGAAAATAATTAAAATAAAAAACCCCTTTTAATAGCAAAACATCAGAATGCTATTACCGACAAAGACAGGAGAGGCTGGAACGGCCATTTTGTGTTTGTCGGTAACACAATTTTGCCTATATCATGCGCCGCTGTGCGGCTGCTGGTTGAGCTCGAGGGAGAGCTCGTAAGGCAAAACGGGACGAGTGAGTTCCGTATGAACGATCGGTGAGCGCCCCCTACCATTGCATATTCCCGATCGAAAACCGACAGCTGCCAATCCCTGGACCAAATTGCGTTTAATATTAAGGGGAACAAAACTGTGAACATTAATGTATTGTCTCGTCCGGGTTTTCTTTCGGAATACCCTACGTTGAATTGACCCATCCTCTTGTCTGTGCAGAAGAACGTCGAGGAACGCGATTTCATTGTTTGCCTCAAACTCTGCAGAGAACGTTAGCAAGGGGTGCGAATTGTTGAATTTTTGAATCAGGACGTCTGTGTCGGTGGTAACATACGTCAGGCAGAAAATATCGTCCACGTACCGACCGTAGAAGCTGCGGTCATTAATGGTTTCTTGTAAGCAGCTAGAGTGCGACGTTTCTGCTCTCCTGAGACTGTGGAGGCAGAACTCCAGCAGCTGCGGGATACACTCCACAAAAACGGATACCCATAAAAAAATTTATCCTTCGAAATATAGGGGAGCGTACTGCAAAGCCTACCATGGCAACTGCAGAAAAGAAGGACTTATTTATAAGACTGCCTTTGCAAGGGGACGCAGCAAGTGAATTAGTAAGAAGACGTCTGAAGACAGCTATCATTAGCGCTTTCCCCGCGGCGAATTTACGTGTGTGTTTCACTAACTCTCCCCTCCTACGCTTGGGAGGTAAAGACCGACTCCCGCTACAGGCCACGTCGATGTGTATTTATTCATTCACTTGCCCCTGTGGAGCGGGATACATTGGCCGTACAACGAGGCGCTTGGAGAAGAGAGTACGTGAACACATACCGGCCTGGCTAGGCAGAGTTGAGAAGAAATCGATCTCGAGTTCCATTCTCGCACATCTTGTCGATATGAATCACCGAGTCGATGCCAAAGAAGCCTTTCAGATTGTCTACCGGACGTCAGCAAGCTTCTACAGAGGCCTACGCCAACGGGTGCTAGCTACAGCTGAGGCAGTGGCTATACAGCTAACCAATCCAGTCCTATGCTGTCAGAAGACTCTGACACAGGCGCTCTGTCTTCCGTGGCCGACGCCGACCCCAACGTCGCCCCAACCTCCCGATGCCAGGGTGTGTGCACAAGGTACCCGACGTACTCACAGCCTATGGCCCCCCTCTCCCTCGCCCCCCTTAACCCAATGACCACGACACGCCGACCACGCCATAGCACGCCTCGTCATGCGAGTGGCGTGGGAACGATGGATGTTAATTGTCCCCAAATCATTTATAAGTCATGTAATTCGCATAACTTAAACTTCTTTGTAACCGTTTTGGCCTGATGAAGGTTACTGAAAACCCGCGTTCGCCAATTTGACTTTTTAATCAATATTTTTTTATAAGCCTTTTGCAGAATGATATGTTGGTTAAGAATATTTGACTCGAACCAAGCAAATATTTTCACAAAAAGCTCGTGCAACTACTTCTCAACTCCAGTATCCCATCCTTATTAACGCCGCTTAGTAAGCATAAGACGTGAATCGCTTACGTTGCAGTTGTTACGCGTACCAGGACCCCTTTTCGGGGAGAAGATTTAGATTGCAGAAGTAAGCGATTTGCAGATGGCTTTCTTACCTATCATTTACCATTAACCAAATTGCCGAGAGCGGTGTCTTAAATTATATTCCCATTACCCTTTGAGCACAAAAAAGGCGTGGCTTCAATATTTCATTGAGGAGCGCACTCGTTATAATCTACAGACCACGAAAATGAAAAAGACCCCAGTATGCCAGTACGTCCAAAAAGGTGAACATATCAAAGACAGTTACATAAATGGTCAACATTTCCCCATTATTTGCAAAGATAAACTTTAGAAAATGTCGTATTCGATGTGAGCATATTAAATTATTAATGTTACTTATTAGGTTATAGGTTCATCAAAAGAAGTACTCCAGATATTCCAAGTTTTAAACCGTCTGTTCATTCCTGGTCCAGTGGAGGCCCTAGCAAGCGACTTGATTGCTGGAAGTGTTTTCGTTAACCAGGTTACGTAAACTAACCGTCCAGGTGGGTTTCAAGGCTCGATCCGGTATTCGTACAGTGACTGGTAACATGGGAAAAAGGCGATTACCGGCGCCATTGTTCTGACTGCCCTTAATAATACATCGGTCGTGTTCTCTTATATTACTGTCATGCAGCCGGCCATAACCAATGATCAGTTGGCGGAGCAGCCGTAGATTACTTCGCTAGTAACCTTAAAAGTAATTTGCACAAAATTCCTGATATATTTATCCAACGCCGAAATTTTATTAGAAAAATAGTGCATGTACAGTGAAAAATTTATCACCATGTGCGTTTGGACTTCAAAACGTAATGCAAAATTCTCCAGATTTACCAATGCTGTCAGTTATTACTTGAATATTATTGTGCAGGGTAGCTTATATGTGGCCAAACCTTGATTATTATTAAAAGTTACAAATAAATGGAACAAAACTTTATTACAGAAAGTTACAGCAAATGTTCGAAACGAAAAGCTTGTGCGTGGATCATCACCAGACTCTGTTTGTATCACTTTCAGTGTGCCCTCCTCTGAGCCAATTTTTAACTTGTTATTGCCCTCTTTTACTTGAAAGGTGGCCTACACACGACGCACTTTAAAAATCGAAAAGTATTTTCATGCTGTTAGCAGTTATTATTCGTCGAGTCAAAGTTATAAACATGTTTGAAATAGTTCGACTGAATCATCTGATATATCACCTCTATCAAAATCGAAACTCTACGAATTGATACAAAAATTCGATCAAATAGGCAAAATTGCCAACGCGGATAAATCTAGTGAGCTAAGAACGCTACAGACTGTTGCCGATCAAGATTTGGCAGCAGCATCATACGTCAGCAGCAGTCGGAAATCGCAGAGACTTGCTTCTGCACAGTTAGGCATATCGCGGTCGTCTTTACAACGCATCATTTCGGATATCGGCTCGCGCCAATGTCACCTGCGTGCACTTCACGCTCTTAGCGAATATGACGGAGACAGGCGTGTTTAATAATGCAAAACATTTGGTCGAACGAAACCCGCTGCAGACTAAATGGAAGAATGAATTTACGTAACTTTTCCTATTGGTCAGATGGGACTCCATGCTAGATAGTATAACAGGGGCTTAACTTGCCTAATATAATCGTTTGGGGTGGCATTTGCAGTAAGGGATTAGTTGATCCGTTTTTCTTTTCATAATACAGTGACGGCCAAATCATATCTAAAATCGTCAAACGAAATTTGTAGCCCATGGTGTCTCAACGTGCAGCTAGCGCTGATTTGTTCTTTCAGCGAGATGGTGCCCCTGCTTATCATGGTCTCTTTGTTCGAAAGTAGCTTGAACATTTCCCGGGTATATAGATAGGACACCACGGTGTAGTGCCGGAAAGGTACCCAGGCCTAGGTCTTCCAGGCCTCTTTCTCAACAATCAGATATCACGCGATAAACCTTAAAATGCATTTATGCTTAAGCACGAAATAGTTCGCGGTTTTACCTGTAGGTTTCTAACTTTGTATTCTCATTTATTTGCCTGCTTCAAACTGTTTTCCAGCTTAGCCAGACAAGAACGCAGTATACAGACTTCCAGGAAGACCTTGCAGGAGAAACACTCCGTGCTGTGTTTCGAAATACGGTGTCGTTATCCACCATCGCCTCTTCTTAGCACCCAGCGCTCATTTGTGGCTCCACTAAGATTCACTCTGTACAGCGGCCACGTCCTGATAATCGTTTCGACTAGCCGGCTCGCATATAATGGAACAGTAGACTATATTTCCCTTGGAAGGCAAAACTTTGAGCCGGAAGTGTGTTCCGACCGTCAGGAAGAAATTGACCGTATGATGACACTCCTGGACGGAGATCCTGGGACTAGCCGGCGACAACTCCCCTCTCCGCGATTTCCTTCTCGTACGAGAGAGGGATAGACGCAGTCCCCTAGACGGAACGGGGTAATTTGCGTTATTTTCTCTCTAAACTAACAGCATGATTTATAGGGAAACTTCGCAGTCGCCAGCAGTATCTAATCGGTCATATCTGGTACAGCACTGCTAACGCCCTCACGGGAAAGCAACTACAGAGCGTGTCTGAAAAAAAACATTGGTAAGCATGCCATCTGCAAACTGGTGGGGACTCACGAAGGTTAAAAAACGCAGTTGAAACGCTATACAAAACAATAACCCTGTTTCCCCAAATTATCACCCCACCGGGACTACCCTGTTCTCCTGAGAAAGGATAAGATCGCCGTACTTAGTGAAAACTTACGGTAAAAGCAAAGACAACTGAATGGCGTTGACGCAGCCCAAACATCGCATTTTAAAAAAACAAATGCCGTTATTCTGGTGTCGCCATCATCACCGTAAGCGGCCTCGTCCTGAAGTTGTCTTCTCTTTCCCATGAAGTCAACGACTGTCTCATCTCAATAGGATTCCGACTCGTCGGGGAGAAAGGCAAGACCATTTCTAGCACCCTCCAGCAAGCAGTGACATTGAGAAATACATTTTCTAAAATGCTCTGTCGAAGGCTGGTAGACAAATTGTTCTCAGCGAGTTCATGAACTAAGTAGCTGCAGATCACGCAGCTTGAGCTGCTTTCCGTCGTCACGGGATGACGTCAGTGGGCTCCCTCTACTTAGGCTTTAGGCAGATCGCAGTTGCATAGTCACCACCACCACCACCACCACCACCACCACCACCACCACCACCACCACCACCACCAACGCCACCAACAACAACAACAGCAACGTTTGCCTAATCAATTGCATGGAGACAACACTACTGCATTCTCGATCACGTAAATGCCAACTTCTGAACTAAGTTCACGTAATGGAACGAGGTCAACATAGCCTGCTCGCGACAAAGACTGAACATGATGCAGTATCTTGGGCTGACACTGTCTCGAAAGCCAGCCTGTAGACTTGATGGCAGATATGGCCTCACGGGAAGAAGCACAAACGACGCTGCACACTACAGGACTAGGTCGGGCAGAGCACGACGAACACCAGTTAGGGTCATATGGAAACCCAGAAGGGTAAGACCTTCGTGGCATTTGGATGACACATTTGACAACCATTCATTCCAATGCAACTTAATTAATCAAATTATCACAGAAAAAACACAAAAATGGATTTCTTGATCTCCAAGAAACCCACTCTGCAGGGGATATGCATGGACAAAACAAACCGAAATACTCCTGAGTTTTCATTCGAGCAGATATAGGGAGAAAGACGGTAACACATTGCTTTTAAAAGCAGGTTAGGCCCAGAAATAGGTTTTGTGAGAGGGAATCAAGGACTTCTTCATGGTCAGCAGACGGCAACCGATCTGAACTGCACTACGGCTCATCTGAGTCGGAAAAATTCCACTGACATCGAAATGGTGGATTCCGTGGCGTTGGACTAATGACTTTTATTTCTTTCTTTTTCTTCTAGAAAAACATCGTTACATTCGTTCAATTGATGGCCGGTGCTGAGCTTGATCGCCCACCCCACCTTTAATTGACAATAGGGTAACCCAGCGGATGTTCGGGGCAGATGTCTGGGCATATATTCAATTTGAACAGCAATCTACATGTACGGCTCATCTCAACTCAAGAGACATCTGTCTGACTTTTTAAATTAGTGGTATCATTGTGACGTCATTCCTCATACTCGTCTTCGTTTTTCAGCTGTATTAAACTCAGACGACGGATTTTCGAGTATATTCCAATTCTCTGACACTTAAGCGAATGGTTCTGGTGTCCGACTCCTTTTCTTCCCTATACATGCCAAAACCTCTAAGACTTCAAGTAGGCAACTATTAATCACCTAGATTAACGTAGTAGAATTTAATAAATGTTCGGTTGTCATCGAGGAATCTTCCTACCTGATAAAATTAAATGCTTGGTTTGACTTGTACTCAACCGCCCGAGTTTGCATCTTAGGCAAACTCTTCCATAGAATGATTGCGGTTTCAGAAAAACTGTGAAACCACTGATACGGTCGTTAGATCCCCGCAAATGGAAGAAATGAACGTCAGACCTTTCATTACCTTTATAATTCTCGACGAGTCCTTCAATATGTTTAAGAGAGGCTATCAGCGGTAAGTTCTGAGGTAATGTGGATGTTCTGAACGTCTAGCAGTAAAGGTTAGGTAACTTCAATGGATAAAACCCGCGGGCCTTTGTTGTGCAAAATGGTAAGAAGCAGGATATTCTATACGTCCCAGTCCCAGACAGTGCAGGTTTTTCGAACATTGATGGGCGTCTTCAGACACGATCGGCCAGGCACGTAGGTTAACTATGGAACTGATGACAAACTATCCCATTTGCGTAAAAAATTGTCAAAGGCAGTATTTTTGACAGCCTCATTGCATAAAAGCCGTGGCTGTTTAACTTTGCCAGTCACCGCGCCCAACCTCGTCTGCGGTCCACCTAACTTTGTCTTGACACCGAGCCTAGATTGACGAAAGAGGGGCAGGTGTGTAAGATACGGCGAAGGACTCTTAACAGCGTAAAATAATTAACACGCGTCCATGCACCGTCCATGCACCATCCTGATGAAAGCACACGATAAACATTTTCGGTGGCGACGCCCAAACTGGTGTCGTCATCTCTGAGAACCCTACCTCTAATGCATCAAGTTGGAAGCCTAAAAGTTCAGTGCGCATGACGAACAGGCCTGTCAAAGGCCCGTTAAGGCGGGGAAATATCTACGAAATGCACCAAAGGTAAATGATTTGTTCAGCATCTACTTTTAGTCGCATCTCTTCCCAAGCCTCGATGAAGTAGTCGCAATTTCCGTGCTCCTGAAGTGATCTCTTCCGCCACAAGAAGCTTCTACAGACATTTCTCAAGACTTGTATATTAGAAGTAATTGCCTGGAGCCCTGAATACTAAAACCAGTCATCTGAGGAGATTCCGCACGGTCGAATGTAAACCTACAATGTCATTGTCAGTTTGGTAAAACACGGGAATAGGATCCTCTGTAATACATGTGGCCCTGTGCCACATTCCATGAAGATAAAGATCAGGGTGAACGTTTGGATAAGTTAGTTCGGACACGGGAATAGATATCCTTCGTGGAATTTAGCGGAAGGCAACCTGCATTGCGGGTGGGGGAGGGGGGGGGTAGTTCCCATTCATATGTCTCACCGTCACATAAAGTACAAAATAGGGACGACCCCAAAGATGCCAGGTTGCTTCAGAAAAACTGCGCATTCAATTCCAATCCTATGTCGCATGCCAAAATGTTGTTATCAAATATGCTTATAGAGGTTAACTGATGTGAATATCATGTATCTCATTGTGATGTGAGCTGCTTGCATAGGTTGCGGTGAGGGGACGGAAATGACTGAAAACAGCAAAAGCAGCACGAAAAATTTGCGGAATTATCGGGTGGCGCGATAATAAGTCATTGTGAGTTAGAAATGAAAAATGGGCAATAAAAGCCTTAACGCAAAATGGCAACACACACGGACATCCAAAAGGTGACCAATTGGGAAAGCATCGACTAAGCACACATATAAAAAAATGGGAAGAGAAGTCCTGGCGTAGCGCGATGAAGAATCAGCCGCTATCCTGTGGCAATATTTAGCGGAGAGCATCTTACCAACAGTTATGTGCTGTAGTTCATGCTTTATGCTCGTTTTCGGTGATATGTCAGATCAAAAAGTTAATCATTCTAATTTACCGGGTTAAATAATCTCAGAGAATAGCAAAGAATCTGGTGCAGTGGTCCGTTTAGAAAATAAATGTGAGAAGGAACATTGGATTAAAACAAAGAGAAAGTATATGAGAGCATACCAAAAACTGACATAAATCTCGCAACCAAAATCAGCATGCCGTAATGCACGGAGAATTCTACGTTTCTTTATGTACTTAATTTGCGATCCCTTAAGGACGCCTTTCTAATAACAAATGACCTTTTTCAGTGAAATCTTGCTTTGTATAAGTCTCTGCTTTTGGTCCCCACATTAATTCCTAGATTCACATTAAACTCTGTCCTTCCATATGCCTGATCGTCCAGACTTTGGTCACAGTGTTGTCCAAATTACCTTAACCTTAATAGGCAGAACAAAAATCCACTTTATATTCGTCCATATGGAAAATCATTAGATAATGTAATAATGCATTGGACACAATTACACCAGGGCATTGCTTTTTAGTTTATTCCCGATTCTAAACTTGAGGATTCTTTTGTTAAATGGCTGACGTTTCCAATGACCGGGTCTGCTGTCCGTTGTCAAAACCAGCGTTGTGGTAAAACCCGATGAATTTTCATTCAGTTGCTATGGTTTGTTGGCACTGCGTTTGTCTATTTTTGCCATTATCGTTGCCTCGATCGTTCTCGGTTACTACTCTGGCTTGGTGAGATTACCCTTGCCTTGGCTGCGTAATAAGACGGCGCGTTTGGGACAGTTTTTTTCAAAATAGATTGCTAGTAAATATAAGGGACACTAGAATGCATTTCCGGCTAAGTAGCTGTCGTCAGCCAGCCATGCCCAATCCCGAGGTTTGAACCAGCAACCTGCTGGTTAGAAGTCCGACGCCTTAACTACTGAGTCAGGGCTCGTTGTATTGCCAGTTTTGGTCAACCCTAGTAGGTAGAAGCGTCGGCCGCTGACCGAAAGGTTTGTCATTCGAGTCCAATCCACGGCGAAAAACTTTTGTGTGAGGGTGCAGCAGTCTGTGTGGTGAATTACCCACTAAGTCAACATATCTTCTGATCCTGTCTGGTCGAACTATGTCGTATTTTCGTTAGGCGAATCGTGACTACCCTGCTCTTGCCCTTTTTAACATAGTGACGCAGAACCTTTTAAATCGCGCTAAGTCGAATGAGTTGGTTATTCAGATATGTATTTAAAAACCACGCCTCCAATGTCAGTGGCTCAGGACTCAAAATGGCCTAACTCAAAATGGTTGTTACTTAAAAATCAAAATTTTAGCTATTCTTTATGACGGGACTTCAAAGTTGAAAGTTGGAGTCCAGATTTTCGTTGCGAATCGGTGTTTGTGGAAATAAATTCGTAGATTACATGTGGATTTCCCAGTGTAGCTGATGTCATTGCCATATTGAACAGAGGCTTTTTACATTTGTCCAGGTTTCTGCAAGCGATAATGACTCCTTTTATTGAATCATATGCTGCCCATTTATGGCCAGGAGCCTAGAAATGGAACATATGGTAAGGGACTCGCGTTGTCAAGATAACGATTCAGAAATTGCCTTCCTACAGGGGATGGCCTATCATGCATAAGGTCGTTATGCATTCGGCAGTCCTTCATTCGATCAGGACATTATATGTACTGCAAACGTGCCTCGTTCTGTATTCGCCCAGAAGGGGAAAAGTCGCTTAGTTGCCATGTCTGATGGTGTGTCATAGTGCCTTAAATATTTGGGTTTGCAAACCTGTGTTAAGCGGCTATGGGACTTGCTTCCCCCCTCCCAACCGGTGAAACGCTCATATCGGGAAACAACTGTCTCAGGAGACGTCAGGATCAAGGACAAAATTGCAATCACGACTTTAAAAGCCTGTTAGGATTGCAAACAGCATAGCATGCCGCACGACAATCTGAATTTTCCCAAAGTCTTCAGAGTAAGTTGTCATGATAATGAGTGATAAGCTGTGGACTTAACAGGCTAATGCTTCCTGAACACTGGGTGTTCTATCCTTTTGACGATCGCCCCCACAATCAGGCCGGAAGACGAAAAGCCGATGGGCACGCTTTTGATCCATTCATATTTATTTCCACAGAAAGGGAAGTCGGCCTCACAGAGGTTCGGTGAAACGCCTGGTTATCATTCAACTAAACAATGCAGAAGGCTGTGTGACGGTCACTTTGAATTTTCTGTAGCAGAGACTACGGCGATGAAAGGTGGACACGGCTACTTAAAACGAAGCTGTCTATTTATGCTTTTTTTCAGCTAACTCTTGTTCCTTATTTAGCTACCATCCTGTAAGCAAACACTTGTGCGACGGACCTAGTGCCTCTCCCCTTTTCTTCCGTGTGTTAGCGCTGAATTCCAGCAGACTGCGACGGAGCATACTAGTGCACTTGTAATGAGTAGACGTATGGCATACAAGCGCAATAGCCTCAGCGCATTTTCCTTAAGAGCAGTCATTTTTTCAAACGGTCAAAGTCTACCACCGACGTGCCTAGAGAAGTAGTGCACACATATCGAGCGGTCGTTAAATGCACCAACCGCATGTTTTCAAAATAGGTAGTTAAACGGTGGACTGGTTGTTTTGTATGAAAACCCTTCAGATTGTGTACACAGAGACTAGTGGTCTTAACACGCTTAACATAGCACATGCTGTTTGATCACTACCTTTTAGAATCAGGACATATATCTGATTGCAGTTTGCGAGTTCAGGAACGAACTGAAGTATCTTGATTTTTGAGATATTGCATGCTCAAAAACTAGTCTGATTAAACTAACAAGGACAACTAATACATGAAAAATAACTGAACATTCCATGACTGACGGATGTGACTTGTCTTCTCATTAATTCCATTTACTGGAAATGTGCTTATTCCTAACTTTGTACTGAGGATTTACAGGTGTTCTGCTTGGTTTCTTTTTATGGATAACAGTTGTTATGTACATGAATGTTTTAGTGACGTAATAAATATCTACAAACGCCTAGACTCTACCTGACTCTCCCTGAGTCACGAGTAAACCGAACCCCTTTTAAATGATCGCGTATTTTGCGGGCGCGTAATAAAAGACATCCGTTTATCCGCAAGTGGACAAGGATGTTTTGTCGCCAAAATCGGTTCTGACTTCTGATTCTTCCGTTCAGACATCCGATCTTTCGCAAAAACCTGATACTTGTTGCCAGTCAACCGAGGTGCACCTGTGCTGCTGTAGTCAAAACTGGCAACCAGCCTACAATTACAAACATTCGCTCTGGGCCTCTGAAACCTCAGCTACAACTGGCGAAAAGCGTTGTGCTGATGACAAAAGCGGACCCCTACCTAAAAAGCCTCATCTTGCGGAGCCGCAGGCCTGCTCTGTTGAGCTAGTTACTCCGCAAACTGCAGTTACTCCGACCACTCGTATGACGACGAATGTTGCTGACGAAAATCCCGCAGTTGAAGAGTAATTATTGCCATTTGATGCTACTTTGTCATGAAATAATTCCACTCACTATACAGGTCTTTTCCTTATTTCGTATGTGTTGCTTGTAGATGTGAAGTATCTTCCTTATAGAAACGGTCTCATCTGAGCTTGGATTTTTCTATGCGGGATAACAGGTATTCTTGCAAGTTTGACTTAGTTTTTTCCAAAGCGAGACAATTTCGGGAGGCGAAAGACCCCCTGCACATTGTGAGTTTATCCAACTAGCCAATGATAGACTGAAGTTGTTGGTAGACCGTTATGTAGCTTTTGTACACTGCCCTCGCACCTTCAGGCATCGCACGGGCCTTTTCGGCCAAATGCGCATCCACGAGAAGGGCCTTGACCGCACTCCAGACACACCCACCACATTCAACACATCCACCGTGCACACCCCACCCTCGCTCCATCCGTCCGCGCCACCACCACCACCACCACCGCCTCCTCTGTAGCTAACACTGACACCGCCGACTTCTCATGCCCACACTGTCCACGCACATTCACCTCACGCATCGCCCTGGTCGGTCACTTGCGAATCCATCGCACAGAGACTGGCGAACCAGTGCCTGGAGCACCAACCTACACCCACCAAGCTCGTCTCAACTGCCCACACTGCCCTCGCACTTTCAGGCATCGCATGGGTCTCTTCGGCCACATGCACATCCACGACGACGTGCGGTAGAAAACCGCCGGTCACACCACACATTCACTCACTCCCTACCTCCTCCTCCTCCACCACCACCACCATCACCCCACCCGACATCAACACTCACACACCTCATGCACTCAACTGCCACCTCCCACGCAAGTGAGAAGTACGCATCTCGACTCGGTCCCCATGCGGCTTCGGCTGCACGGGTGACTTGAGTCCGAGACTATCCCGACACGTCAAGCGTCGTGGATAGGAAGGTTGCTGGTTGACGCCTGCTCTCGGTTCACGCAGTTCGTCACGTTGTGTGTGTGTGTGTGTGTGTGTGTGTTGTGGCGGAATGGTGGGCTGGGGACGGGCTGAAACAGCACCTTCCACGGCGGTCTGAGAGTCAGGCTGCAATGGCTCCTTTTTCATGTGGCCTTTATGGCACTCCCATCGCAGTGTGGGATCCGAGCCAGGCGTTGGCGGCACGCCAAGGTGCGGCTTCGGCCGTGCCAGCCTCCAAATCTCTGTTGTGTTGGTTGAAATCCTGGTTATTGTTGTGTGGACCAGGGGGTGTGGTGGAACGCCAAGGCGAGGATCCGTCCGAGCCATCCACCTGCGGCCTCCCTCGTCTCCGGTCTTCTTGAATCCGTCTTCACACCGGGCCTAGGCGGGGGAGGAGGAGAGAGTGTAGGTCGATGCTACGCATGTCTACCGGCACTATAAACCCCCTGCGTAAGTCACCGTCCCTGCTCCCATTGCTGCTGCAACTGTGGGGCACACGGTGGACATCATCGAAACCGATGGTCGAACTGTCATCCGCACGCCGAAATGTTTTACTCTTGTGTACTTCCTCCTGGTTGGATGGTTCCGTAATTACCATTTACGCGACATTTCACGGGCTACGAGCCTGAATCTCTAAGTCTTCTTGGAGAAATTGCAGTTTACTCGAGTTATTTTGCAGCAAGCTACGACTTATATGATACCCATTTTCTGAGCTGCCTAACATACCTGAAGGAGGACATAACCAGAATACATGGATTATACACGCCTCTTTGTTTATTTTGTGTCTGCGTTTAACAAATTCTATTTCTTAAAGAACGGTAAAAAGGCTAATTTAATAGAATTAACTGTAAATTTAGTTCCTATCGTCAGCTAAGTGCGAATATGGGGGCTTAAAGGCTGGAAATCTGTGCTTGTCTAGTTGATCACGGTCAATGAGTCCGGAATGACCGCTGCCATATTCCGCCTTTTATTCGGCAATAATTTTCAAACCGGTCATTATCCTCTATACTGCAACGGCTGTCGTGCACTGTAGGTTGGAGAGCGAACGCAAATTATAGCGTCCATATTTCGGCTTACAATTGAGTCACACATGTGGACGCCACCTCGAGTCACGCGGGAAATGTGCTAGGCCCTAATGTGAGAGGGGCAGATTAGGGTACGACACGCGGTAACCAGGTTACGTAGAATCCGTCCATTCTATAATAAATGCCGCACATGGGGATGTTGGCACGCCTAGATGCAGGCTCACGCTGTCCCGGCCGCTGGCGCAAAAACACTAACATCTAATGGCTGACAGGTTCGGAAAGTAGACGGATGCAGGTAAAAAAGAAGAGAGGGAGGTCGATTCTAGGTATTCAGGCCCCTCAGCACTTCAACATTTACCTCATTATAAGAAGCCTGACACACTTTGGAGCCATCGCGTCGAACTAAAAGTCGTGGCCTGCAAGGTTGCCAACTGACGGCAAAATTCGGACCTCGCACTTGGCCCAGTGTTGTATTTGCGTGGAATAGCCGGCTAGTGACCTGAGAGTCAGTCACCAATGGCTCCTTCTTAATGTGACCTTTATGGCATTCCCCCTGCGTGGGATCCGAGCCGAGTATGGGCGGCACGCCTAGGTGCGGCTTCGGCCGTGTCAGCCTCCATTCTCTTTGTAGATGATCAAAAACCTGGTTATTTGTTGTGTGGACCAGGGGTAAGCAAGAGAACGCCAAGGTGCGGGCCATCCACCTGCGCCCTCCCTCGTCCCCAGTCCTCTTGACCCTGTGGGAGGAGTGAGCGCGGTAGATGCTGTGCAAGTCCACTACCACAGTAAAATAACTTTTCGCACAAATCACTGTCCCTGCTCCCATCCTGCCGTGGGGCATACGGTGGACATCATCGAAACCGTCGATGGGACTGTCGTCGTGTGTATGTGTGTGTTTGTGTGGAAATTTGTTGACCACCCGCGTGTGACACACTCGGACGGGTTGTCTAACCACGTCAACAACTGAGCACAATCACAACATCAGATGACTGAGCGGTCCGGACGGCGAACTAGTGCATGTGAGAGGAAATGGACAGTGATACCGAATCTGGGGACTGCATCTCCACAGCACTCAGAGCATATTCCTCACTATAAACAATCTGATGCGCATTCGGAATATCGAGGGTCGCTAAAACTCGTGGCTTGGAAGGCTGTCAACTGACGGGGGAACCCTGTCCTCTCAGGAAGTACAGTCAGGCTATGGTAGATGTTTGTCAGTGGGACCCCTAGGACACTCCCACTTAGTAGGGATAATAGCCGCCACTTTATTTCTGTGCAAACCTGCTCCATCGTGCGCGGCAGAGACGTGTGTAGTTGCGCCCAGTTCCTTCGCCAGTCGTCCTTACTCAATCATTTAACTGGTCCTGCGTGGATGAAGGAGGCAAGACTGCGACAGATATTGCTCGAGTCTGTTATCACTGCAAACTCATTCTCGTCCCTCGTTCACCATGCTGTTGGACACAAGGTGGATATAGCCGTTCTCCACGGTCGAACTGATAGATCTTTTTGAGGAATGCCCGAGATAATTAGTTAGAGGGCGCACCGTGCAAAAACGACATGTCACTCCACGAGCCTGGTGGACGTGGCAGTAGCTGCGCCGGATCCTTACCATATGCTCAGCTGCGGGCTGCTCTATCTCGGAAATTGTGTTTCCATCAGCAACCACACGCCGGTAGTCATTTTGGTCGGCCAAGATACATCCCACAGATTGAGCAAAAGTAACGCCGTATGCGGTTTAGGCGCCTTATATAATGTGCTCCAAGGAAGTAATTGAACTTCACGCCGTTTTTAAGTTCACGGTCAAAACGGCAAAAACCGCAAACCATTCTTCACCATTCGCGTGCTTCTCATAGTCTACCAGAGTAACACTGCTCAGTCTGGAATATAAGAATATTTTTTCCCTTTTAGAGAATGACAGAAAAGAGGACAACTGTGATTTCTCGGTATTCGTTGTTTACGAAGCGGACATTGTGGCATTCGGTGAGACGCGATTTCCAAACAGGAACAATTGGAAAATGTAGGTGACGAATGCGTCTTCTTCTGGAACGGGCGGCCGAGGGCAGGGTGACGAAACGACGGAGCAGTCTCCCTTCTCATGAACGACCGTCATCCTGCCTGTGGCAGGGAAGGTATGATTATTTTATGAACACTAGGCTGCCTCTACGCGGAAATTTATCCGTGGCTGTCGATGGTTCTTACACTCCGTCCTCAATGACCAGCTCCGATGATGTAAAGCACAGGGTCCACGAAGACCTACACGCCATCCTTGCAGCTGTTCCGAGGGCGTAAATACTGACTGTTCTCGGGGATTTCAATGTTTTCTTGGCACAAACCACGTTATTTGGAAGGGGATGTTAGGTCGCAACGAGGTCGGCACCCTGGATGTATTCTCTTGCTCAGAACATTTTCCACCTTCCTTTCCGAAGTAAATGGCATAATGGAACTTTCGCTCGCCAAGCTGGCAGTTGTTGAATCATGTCCTCGTTCGGAGGCGCGGCCAGCGTGGTTTGTTACTGGTGGAGACGATGTAGGTTTCATACTGCCGCCTTGGCGTCTTAGAGGTGTGACTCCGACTGCAATACAGCTGACAATGGGAAGATAATCAAGCACCAAATAAGCCGAATTCCAAATTATTGGACGCGACTGAGCGTTAAATAGACTTTAGCAGTCTTATAAATCCACCCAAGGGATATATGCGAGCTTTTGAATCAAATGTATATGTTGGGATCTGAAGGAGAGGAATGCAGGATGACATATACGCTAGTGCTTCAGAGGTCGTTGAAAACAAACACTGAAAGCACCAAGAGAGGTTTGATGAGGACAGTCGGCATCTGTTTTCTGGGAAATAACTCACACGCCTCCAGCAGCAACGGAACCGACACCAGCAAAGCAGCGCTCTTTTGATGCCGAAGTCTTGTTCAGCAGAGGCTGTGAAGATGCCAAAATGAGTGAATTATTTGTCGGTTTAAAAATCAAAGAGTACATGGTCAAAAATAAAATAAGGATCCATTCGTGTCCATCAGTGCGGCCCTCAAGGTATTGAAAATGAACAGTTGCCCATCTCAGACGGACCAGTCATTTTAACGAACAAAGCAAAGATCATGGAGTACTAGATCGAACATTTCATAAACTTCATCTATCGGCCGTTCACCATATCTGAGGAAGACGACAGCAGACTACTACAAATGGAAACTGACATTAACTTGACCGTCCGCTCCGGCTGCCAAGGAGCTATCAAAATCCACCATCGTGTCCACACGTTCCCAATCTAGATCTGCATTTTAAAAAGTCTCTCATATCACGGACAAAATCACCCCATTTAAAAAAAAAATTTAGATACAAGGCCGATCCCCCGAACTTCGGGACTCAACCATTGTTCACTCGTGCAAATTTAAACGAAACTGCCGATACAAGCGAAGATGCGGGTTCTAGGAACTAGTTGATAAGAAGTAGAAACGATCGCTGGAAAGCGAGCTTTATTCACCTGACGTTTCGGATTTGCGCTAGAACCCATCATCAAAGACAGTGACAGTGCATCGTACATATCACGGTCCCTGATGATGGGTTCGAACGTGAATCCGAAACTTTAGGCGAATAAAACTCTTTTTCTAGAGATCGCTTGTAATTCTTAGCAAATGAAACTGGCAGCTCCGCAGTCACCACATAGGCATCTGCCTCCTCAACACCGCAGGTAAATTCTTTTCATAAGTCTTTTGCAACGGCCTGGACATAAAAACGGACCAACTACCTCTCCCGTAAATCAGTGTGAAGTCTGTATGAAGTTCAGTGCGCGCCAACTGGAGGAAAGATAGCAAGAAGGGCCGGTTTCCATATCTTATTTGTTGGTCTATCAGAGCAAGTTTATTAGAATGGATTATAGAATGCGCCTAACGTCTACTAGAAAATAACACCTTTCGTAATATGCCTTTCAAAAGGGACGAAGAGCAGTGACGACTGACCCTTTCTTGTCAAACCTGAAGTATATCGGCTGTGGTGGCACACCTATAGGCGGCTCCGGCCACGCCAGCCACCTGCCTACTCTCCCACATCTGGTCTTCTTGGCTATGTCTCGACTCCGGGCCCAGGTGGGGGAGGAGAGAGTGCGGTAGACGCTCTGCAAGTCTTCCCTCACTATAAAAGAAATCACGCGCAAGTCAACGTGCTTGCTATCCCCATGCTGTTTGGCACACGAGGGACATCGTCGATCACGACGGTCGAACTGTCATATTCAAGTTCACTATTAAAGCAAATCACCGAACACACGTGACAATGTACTAAAGAAAGTACCCAGCAAGAGAAAAGAGGAGAATCCCAAGATGTCCTTATAATAACTTCAACCCCACTTCAAGAACTAGGAGGAAGTGGGCAAAGAAAACTTCAATAACCATGCGGTCAGTTGGAGAACAGTGATTGCCTCTACGACTCCACAAAGCAGTTTTCGCGACTTTACGTTGAAGCGAAAGTGTCTCATGGCAAGAGACGTCACTGTCAGTAGAAGCGAAGAGACGAGTCCCAGGAAGCAGTCTCAAAGAAGGAGACACGATCACAGGGGCAAGGACTTTATTAGCCTGGCGTTGCGGATTCCTGCTCGAACCCATCATCAGAGACGAAAGCAAATACGGGTGGTGGCGTCAGGTTATGAAACCGAAAGACCCGCTGCCACGGCTAGAAAGGCCTGGAGTCGTTTATCGGATCTGGCGCAGTTGCGAACAAAGCAACTACGTCGGAGAAACCGGAAGACAGCTCCGAAAGAGAATGGCCGAACACGCTGCAGAGGTGCGGAGAAATGACGCTAGCTCTCAAGTTGCGGCTCATTCGACGAGATAAGTACACACAGTCAAATTCGACGAGGTCGAAATTCTAGCCAGAGGTGATAACCGTGTGAGCCGGGAACTGCTTGAGTCATGGTTTACTGGCCCCCTCTCCATTAAAAATGAAATAATCTTCCCCTTCCATAATCGGTGCTGAGACTTCACCTAGGTGGCGAAATTAGCTATGCGGGAGAGCACAGGTGAAGACTTTTCCCAACAGCAGGTTCGGTGCGAAAGACGGTCGAGCAATCATCACACCAACACCCATCGCACGTAATGAGATTGTAGCAATTAACGACGAGAACGTCGACCATCGAACAGTCATCACACCAAGTGCGACGATCGCGGATGAAGTGGGGAGCCGTGAATGCTCATAAGTATGCGGTATCATGGCGACTGCATCCTATAAATACTGCAGCGCCTTGTGCATGAACCACCCGTATATACTGTTGTCTCTGATGATGGGTTCGAGCAGGAATCGGAAACGTCAGGCTAATAAAGCTCTTGTCTCAACGATCGTGTCTCCTTCTTCAAGACGTCACTGTCACGAATCGCGAAACTTTCTATTGCAATTTCTCATTTTTGTCGTCCCGACCATTTTGGCTTATCCTTATCGCTTGCTAATTGAATACCCGCGGCCTGTGTGCCCAGCTCTCGCCTTCCAACCTCCCGCCCCCCCGCCGCCGCGACGACGAGGAGCCGAGTGATAATCTGGTCTTTGCTTAACAGGGTTCATGCGCTCGCGTACGCGTCGTCAAGAGGAAGGCTTCTGCTTGCTCACAGCATGGTGGGGGTGTCGCTGTTGTTGGCCTCTGAGCTGTTCAGACGCTTCCTGCAACATGAAGGACTGCTATTATTTAGGTCTGCCTGACTGGTTACAGTCGACTGCCACGCGCAGACATCAGAAACCGCACACCTTATAGTCACACCGATTAAAGTCCAAGTGAACGCCTGAGAGCCATGTGGAGACATGCTTGAGGCCCTGCGCCATACCTGCCGCTGCAGTTGTCCGGGTCGGCCTGTTAGAATGCTCTGTTTGCAAGTGCGCAAAAATACAGCGCCGTGAGATAATGCACTGCCTCAGGTCGCCGCTGCCGCTCCGGATAACGGTAAAATTTGGACTTCCCATAGGGGAAGGTAGTTGCCACAAGTCTAGGACTTCTTGAAGTCTGAGCCTCGGACCCCAATCCTATAAAACGGTCTACTGTTTTGTTTACCGACTGTCAGACCATGTGACTACACTATGCAATGTTGCAACCGATTAACTTCAAAGGGATCTGCGGTTGACGCGCGTTCTAGTAATAAAACTATAGTTTCTTTACGGCCGTGTCTTCCCACATCCATAATTATGGAACATGTTGGGATCTAAATGGCCAGACTACTAAGGTCGAGGTGCAAACGCCTGAACGTTTTGCGTTTTCGTTGAACAATGGGCTGGGGTTCTTAATTTCCGCGATATTGGGTATTTATACATTTGCACCTGGTACTGTGGTGGATACATAGTATAGCCTGCACTCCTGTAATAGTTAGAACACTTCGCTGGCGTGGACTATGAAAATAGGAAACGAGCAAGGTTCCCCTGCTAGCACATATCTCCGTCGATGGACTGGGTCAGATTGGGGTGGACGGCGCAATGGCCAGGTCCGAAGGTCCGCTCACCTTCTATTTTTAAAACAAATGAGCAGTAATATTGTTAGTATAAGAAGTGCAGATAGTATATATTCCTTCCTGGCCTAGATAACCTTGTGGAAACAATGGTACAAGTAAAGTACCCTCCGCTACTCGTTTATCCTCCGTTATCCAACTGAGAATATTCGCATGTAAGACGGTCTTATGAATGAATACCCACACTGTCCCATTTATTACGAGTATTTACTCTGACAACGCGAACGTGAATTCCGCTAACGTAAAATAATTATAAAACTTTGAGTGCACCTTGTCCACCGATGTCCAGATATGTTGATAACATCATGCCTCGATGAAAAATTGACGAGAGCACTCGGGTGATGGGCAGGTAAGTGGGGCCTAAAACGTCAACTACAGGACCTTATATGTGCGGTTACCTTCAGTCCACGCATGGAAAGGCTGTTTTTAAGTCTGGTATTTTGCAAAAACCTTTTAGTTTCATTTGTCACTGCTTCTTTGGAAGGCGCTAAAGTTTGTGGAAGAAGTGGACGACTATTTCTTCCTGTATTCAACAATAACAGTGGTGTCAGTAACCAAAACCACCAAGTTTTTATTAAAAAAGCAATGAATTGTTAGCGTTTAAATAGATGGATTGCAGCAACGAACAGACCAGCAAGGATAAAAAGTGATAAAATTATTCCGACAATTGTGCCCACATATCGATCATGGGCTATTCTTTCAGCAAGAGACTTGCCGAATTTTAACTTGCCCTTGTCAAGCTTATTGAATGTGATCCTGTCTTTTGCAGGTTCGGTGGATGTGGAATTATCGATCGACTCTGACTGCAGTTGTTCGTGGCTCTGATTTGCTTGGATGAGAGGTGGGGATAAAGGGACTCGAAGTGAACCTGGGATCTCTTGTGGACTGTCAGACGGTTTTGGAGGCAGTTGCGGAGCAAGACTTGACGAAGTCCTTGATAAAGGCACACTGTCATAAGCATATGCTTGCGTGATCTCTTCTTTATCTCCATCTTCCGATTTTTTCAAAGTATCGTTTATGAGAGTCATCGAACCACTTGTTGGCTGCATTGTGGAGTTCCAAGCTTCCTTCTTGGAAACCACGACTCCTTTTAGGTTAACGTTTGTCGGCCCCGTAGTTATAACTTTGTTATCCATCAAGTAAAGGGGGCCATGTTCCCCCAAATGCATGTTCTGGTGCGTTGGGGCGTTCTCACTGCCGCCCGACTGTAATGAAGGATACTGGGCTCCGTTGGTATGCTTGGGATAGACAGGCATATTCTGGACCTGGAATAATGAAGGTTGTGACGGCTGGTTATCCGTCTGCACCGGAGCTTGTCTGCCTTGTCCATCCATCGGAACTGACAGTGGTATTAATGGGTCAGAGTTAAGATTTTCAGTCCTTTCAGGGTTGGCAAACCGTTCGGGCAACGACGCTGCCACATCCTGTGGACGTTGGGCGACAAAAAATGCACCCTGAGGTGGAGGCTGACGAGGTCGGCCATTAAATAAAACCGAAGCTGTGTGACCACCATCCACATAAAATGACTCTCTCCTAGCATTCTCTGGCGAACTGTCATGATAAGCAGTCTGTAAATGGCTATTGTGCCCAACTTGGGGCTGGAAGTAAAGGGGCGCTTGATGCACTTGCTGCTGGGACATGGCAAGTTGAGACTGGTAGCCTGGCATACCTCCAGCTGACGACTGGTCTGATGCCGTAGCTTGCGCATGTTGTGGCGACATGATAATAGGTGGATTCAAGCTTCCGGATCTTTCCAAGTCCTCCGGTGTTGCCCCAGGTTGAAGTGGGTGACTACCAGCAAGACCCGATACGTGGCCTGAAGGTGGGCCCAAATTAAATGCAGGATGTGCTTGCCCGCTCTCAGCGGGCGAACTGACCATATAGTCTATTCTATTGGCGTAAGGACCGCGTGCGCTCGACTGTATGTTTACAATTTCTTGCCCCACGGGGTCAGCCCAGGAACCTGGTAAGTTGTTTGGTGACTCAGGTTGGTTGTGCGATGACCGTTGGCCGACAACTGGCCCTGGGGCAGGTATTGCTTCAGCTCTTGGCAAAGGTCCTGATATTGTCGGCGGTATAAATGCGGACTGCGGACTGCCGTTAACTGACTGATGCGGATACTCAGGCTGTTGATCTGATTCCCAGTTTGACTGGGAGGCCAGTATATTTGGCGCCTGGCCCATACCCCCATTTAAACCATTAAATTGCTGTGTTGGGCGATTGGGGAACCGCCCACGCATATCTATGGCTATGGGTTGCCGATGAATATCCGAAGATTGTGGGGGTTCTCTAGGCAGGGTCAATGGGTGGGTAGCTTGACGTTGAACAACTGAACCTTGCATAGTGGGGAACTGCTGGAAGTGCAGATCTGCTGGCACTCTTTCTAGATGGGCCACATCGCTAAAGTGCTGAGAGGCAGTTCTAGATGGTTGTCCTTGCAAAATTTCACTGGGGTCTTTTGATTCTATGACGTCAGTATTCAGAATAATGTAACTTTCATTCTCACGTATTTTACTAGTTTCCACGATTCCGTTCTTTTCGATTTGAGGTTTTCTCACGAAGGATAAAATGTCTTCATTTATTTTCTCTCGTCTTTCAGTCACAGGTAAAGCTGGGTCCCTAGCAGATGGCCAGAGCTGATCCACTAAGCTCCCATCCTCCCGAAATGTACTGTGATTGACATTTCTTGAAGCTAATGTACCTTCTCTCAGATAAGGATCGACAAATCCAGGTTTGGAGTGATTCACCAAAGTGTGCCCGTCTGTCGGTAGGTTTGAAGCAGCAGGAGCCTTAACTCGAGACAACTGCTCGTTGAGATCCGCTGCAGGTCCGTCTGGGTTTGCGTGTGAAATTGGGTAAGCAACAGACGAATTCTGGTGACTGTCTTTTAGCAGTGACTGACGTGTAGTGTCACTTGTGTTGTCGTCGCTCTGTTTTTCCTCCGAGACATTGGAAACAACTTTTCGAAGCCTGTTTCCGGCAGTGCCTGCGGCCAATCCAGAGCTTTCTGCTTTACTAATTTCACTATCGCGCTTGGCACTCTTTTCTTTTCGTTCACTGTCAGTCTTTTCCAGAACTCGGGGTACACCATTTGTGTAGTCGGTCGAGGGCCCCAGGTTATACGGAGTAGCTCTAGTTATATCTTCGGCCTCCCAACCCTCTGTTGACAAGGAATTTGAATGGTTTGGCTTGCTATGCAACTTAGTCCATTCTGTTGAACTCGTTGGTACAGGCTCTGTTGCGTCATATCCACCCTCTTTCTGGTTATCATTTGTCAGTACTGTTCGAATCAATAGGTCTTCTGTTCCCAAGTTAATGAGGGATACGTTATTGTCTGTGTCGTACCCTATATCCCTTACAAGTGACCGAGTTGAATTGTCGACGTTTAACGTCTCTGAGCCCTGCAAAGATACGCTGACCACGGAGATATTGCCATTTCCATGTGGTGAAAAATCATATGCTGGAATTGCATCTAAAAGGAAAAGCGCCTTTGGTTGTTAGTTCGCACTATATAAAATAGATATTGACTTCATGACGACCGAAAGGCTACGCACAGATATGATAATAAATCGTGTTACTTATATTTTGTCTGGGGATTTTTGCATCTAGGCGATAGATAAGAGGTTTTTACTCGAAAGCCTCGTTTAGATTAGAATAACAAACTTGACACGCACCTTGCCAATTTCTCCGACCAATTTCTGTCAGACCATATTGTATCATTGTTAGGCAAAATGCACCAATACATTTCTGCACGGATTAATTTTACGTGAAGCAGAATTTTACTATCGGCGTCGAGTACCAAGAAATTAGACGGAATAAAGAAATGTTTTCGAGGATAAAATATTAATCTTTGCAAAGTTGTCTATCACTTTGATTTAATTCAGACGAAAGGGATTCATAAGGCATAAGTGGACAATTCTGAAAGAGATGATTTCCGCCTATGAACTCAAACAAAGACGACCTTTCTTTCTGCAGAGTAATAAAACGTGTTTTTTAAGTGTTGTGTTTCTATTATGTAAAACACGTTCTTAAGCGTATACACCTTTAAGAAAGGAAAAATTCCGGCATTAATGTTGTGCTTTTTATTCTAACTGAGCGCCTGAAAGCACTAATCATCCATTGAAGGTCTTTGACTCTCGCACAAAGATTTTGTGTTGGAGTGAACTCAATAAAGTAACAATACGATATGCAAAACTGGGATCCCAGACGAGTATATTAAAAACCGTAATACAAGACGGCAGTTGTAGTTCACGGTGCTGACAGCGTGAGTAAAACGTAGGCATTACTTAAATAAATTTATAATTTTTATTGAACGTTTTCAAAAAACATTTTGTGGAAATAGTTGCGGCGGAAATAGTATGCAGCAATCCTAACGGGCGAGTGCATTCCAAAATTAGTAACATCATCTTAGAATTGTTCTATGCCGCAAAATCACTTCAACAGCCAGAACTGACTTAATCTAAGTAAAGCAAGTCGACAGAACAATCCAAAATGTCAGTAGATTAAGACGCCTGAGACAAGTTTGAGACCGACTTCATCTACCCGCGCAGAGGACTCACCAGATGTTGATCGTGGGTCTAATGTAAATACTGTAGTGATTCCACACTGATAGAGGTCTGCGTAATTAGCATCTATAGAACGTATCGCGTCCAACTACTGTAAGGGGCCCTGCATTATGCATCATCTCTTTGACAAAAAAAGTGCCCAAGTTAAATTTCATTGCGATTCTATTTTTTGCTTAAACCACAAGTTTTATTCGGCTCATACTCCATCATTTATTAGAGGACAACGTCATAACTTACATACAAAGGAGACGATGGACAACTAAAAATTTCTTAGGCAACAAAGAATGGAATAACAATTTCTGGCTTATTGCCACCAGTCAGGCGTTACTCGACCACCAAAACCAGAGATAAGAACGTTCGTCATTTAACGTCAGAGAGCGTGGGTCATGAGCTTGCGTCCTGTTAGGTGCGATACTAAATAAACACAACTAAGTGAACACTTGTTCACAGAAATATCATAATTTCATTGTATTTAAGAACTCCCCACTTTGCAGAGAGATCGATTCAATTTTAAAAGTTTTTGACTTATACTGGGGTGCGGAGGGCTGGTAACGATAAATAAACTCAAGATTGGCGTTTTTGCATCCTCTTTCTTTTACCTCCAATAATTGTCGGTCAGTGATTGCTTGTTGTCACGCGACTGTACGGTAGGACCCCAAAACAGAAATTTAAAGTTCTAATTGACGTAGTTCTCTTATTCTGTAAGTATACTTGTTCAGCCAAAACCGCTCCAATGCAAACTTGGCAGTTACCGCGTTATCTTAAAGGGGACAGTGAGTACATTAGGTTTTCTTTCAAAAGTGCCCTTATGATTTTCAACAAATATTTTTTTTGTAGCACCCATGATGATCGGATATTTGGTATTCTGGATGCTGCGAAAACGATTGCCAACTGGAAAGGCGGTATGCGCATTTTGATATTAATTAACGGTCAGAAATCGTTGTCATTTTACCATGATATGTCATTGTTTCAATAAGAAACGTCTTCAAAACCTTAGGAAACTCAGCAGAATAGCATAATCAAGCGCAGAATTGTCTATATCGAATATGTTACACTCTTAGCCAACTGTCAATAGAAAACACCTTACCAGCACTTGAGTGCATCAACATGAATTATTTTATTTAGATATGAAAAGTGAATCATCAGTTCAGCAACAAACGCTCTCAGGTGAGAGGCCAGTTACAGGTGACTTATGTTAGCACAGCGATAAATGGTGGAAACTATGCGATAAGGCAAACAGCAGTATTATAAATTTATTGTCTTATCAAGCAGGCGCTCTAGTATTTCCATATTCTTTGCCTTCTCTCGGGGGTATTTTATGTCTCTCTGCTGTGTTCACAATAATTAAACCGCGAATTTCCTATGCGGCCTGCCCGTTTGTAACTTCCATTAATTACTAAAGGGATGTTTTACGGCCGTTCATATGGAGTGTTTATACTCTTTTACGTAGGCCATGAAGAGGAATGGTTTAAGACGTGTGTAGGAAAAGATAAATAAATTAAAGTTATTGTATAAGTAAGTTGTGTGAGAACAAATTATAACTCAGCCAACGTCAAACTGAAGACCTACTTTTCGGTCATTTCCATCCACAAGGTCATTTTTTAAAATCTGTTTGCTAAGAGCATTTTATCGAATATCCTCTATGCACCGCTTTTAACTGCGGTGCAGTCAAGTCAATTAGACCCGCGTACTGTTTGACCTTTAGTGTCCACGAACCCTACGCATACTAGCTGATAGAGAAAGTGGAAACGTTATTTGTTTACCATTGAGTTTGAATTAAATTCGCCAATTCCAATAAATAGCTTGTGCACGGGACTTGAACACCAAACACAAGAATAAACGCAAGAGTTCATAAACCAGGAGCGGTTAAAAAGCTGCACAGAACGGCCGTTTATCAAAGGTCAACGGACCAAACGTTCCACTTATTGTTTTCTTCTTTTAAGTTTCCCTTTTATCTCGAATTACGCTTTGGAAAATGGTGGTTTAACTTCTATCGATAATTGAGGAATGTGCTTTGGTTATCGTTTTCTGTAAGGTTCGACACATAAGGTTCTCTGATCAATAAATAATCACAATTTGCGAGACCAAAAGTCAAAGATGAAAACCCTTTCATGTTTCCTGAGTATACGATGTAAACCCTGAATAAAAGATCGGCTCTTATCCAAACAACGTCTTCATGAACTTATATGACAATCTACACGTAAAGAGTTGCAGCAAACTATTTAAAATGGTGTGCACTTGGCAAGTGGGTTGACATCCTTAAACTTCAATATTTTTCTGAAAAATAAGCCCATTGATAACAATGGCCAGTAAATATATTCAATGAGCACGGAAAATCATAAAGTCTCTGTGAAAGCGTTAAAATCAAAAGGAGGGACTGAAGCAATCAAGATACATAAGGACGTCTGCTTCAAAATAACTGGACATTATTATTGTAGTCCCGTTCTGCCTCAATTTTTAACTAATTTGCGCGTAATCAATGGGATTTGTTTGCTTTACATAGTGATGCATTAACTCAAATAGTTACAGCGGTCGCTCGATAGAATAAGGCAAACCGTCTTCCTAGAAGTAACACTGAAATACGTCTTAAGAGGCATGAAAGCCGCTTGTTTATCAATTTAAAAGATATAAATAAATGAGATAATTATGTTTTGCAAGGATTTAGGTGTCACGGGAAAGCTTTCAACATAATCGCGTAGTATGTATAAAATCAAATGGATATACCTTGCGCTCTAATAAAGTGGTAAGAAAAGTTTAAAGCAAGAACAAAAGTGTTGGTACAAAGGTTTACAGAATTCAAAATTACTCCCTTAGATGCTTCGGATTTAGTCGTCATTGGATATTAAATATTTTAATTAACTGTATAATTTCCACAACACTCAGCCATCGGTAATACTCGATTTCTTATTCACAATATCAATGCTGATCCTTCTGTTATCATTTTGATGCTTAAACGTTTTGGATTGCTGATAAATTAAGAATAAAAGCCGGAATTTAATAGATGTAAACAGCAACCTAAAAACCTAAATTGTAAACCTTTTACCGTGCAATTGATGTTTTCTTTGTGAATGCTGAGGATAACTACCAATTGCTTTCTAGTTCTAGCCTGGCATCTATAACCCTAGTTCAAAAACGCGATTTTTAGAGATCTAATTTTTATATCGATATTGAAAAATCTTGCCCTTCTCAAATGATGCAGTAGGGGTATGCTGCAAAATGAAGCAAATTATTTAATTTCTGCTGAGTGCCATTTAAATCCTTCCAGCTAAATTTACTATATAATCAAATTAAGCCATTTATAACTACTAAGCCGCACTCCATGTTTGTCCACATTTTCGTAAAATACACATAAAGACTCACACCGCTCTAATAATTATGTGCAAAAAATCTAGAAACGCTTATTTATTGCTAAATGACGTGATGCAAATGCAAATTTGGCGAATGCCTTTTCGAAGTATTCCTCATGCAGAATGATTTTGCAAAAGCCTAATGGTGACCGCATTCACGTAACAGAGGAGCGCAATTGCGTCTAATATCGCAGACTGCGTGCTTTCAAATTTCTCCGGAAAATATACATTTGGGCAGCATTTGAAACTTATGATGACTAAACTAATATATTATAGGAATGCGTGCCTGTAACAATCAGAAATAATTGATGGAACTTTTCAAAGAAAGCACAGAGGTTCATGTGACCATTAACACTGCACAAGGCTTCTAACCTACAGTGAAGAAGGAAGATTTAGTGCATAAATTATATTCGGAAAACGTTCTGAATAGGCGGTACTTTGGTTATCTATAATGTCCACATTTTAACAAACAAGGAGAAATTTTCTAGACTTCTTTAAACTAAGATAGAATCCAGATCAACGTTTTGTTAAATAAAAATGACTACTAGCGCACATTCAATATGGAGCAAAATAGGATTTGCAAACAATTTCACAGATTAACTATTAAAAAGAGCCATAAACTGGTTCTGTCCTTACAGAGATTTTCTTCTATAACCCGCTCTGAAGATATCTACCTTTATAAGAGGCCGTTATACAACATGAAAATCATATACAATTGGGAAACCAATAATAATCACCAGAAGAAAATAACAGACACGTGTACATACGTAGATGCTATTTAATTTCCATCTGTGGTCAACGAAAGCTCATTAAACAGACCAAAAAATAAAAATCCTTTGATCGTCATTAGTTTTCAATATTTCGGTTAATTTTCCGTGTCTGCTAAAAACAAACAGCTAGTCATTTTGATGTATTGATTAAGCAAAGTTCTACCGGGATGTGAGGAACTTATCACCATCCATTAATCCCATAATAAAACTGATTGACCGGTTGTTTATCACGTGTAAGTGCCCCATGGAAAAATTCGGACTCTGGATCGGGGCACATCCGTAGATGCGCGAATAGACACTAGGCGATGTAACGTGCGATAATCGTATCGGACGCCTCAAACATTGTACATTTTTTCTAACTGGCCTGGATTGTTAAAAAAAACGCTACCATTTTTTCGTAACAAAATACTTCAAAATGGTTAAGTAGAAGAAAATGTCAACAACATCGGACAAAATGGACGTTATCTTAGACTGGGGCAATTTTCTGCAATAGTCCACGGTCTGAGCAAGTTGCGTGCATCGGTGCTCGTGTTTTTAGTAAAAAGCATAATCAAAACTGAATACATTTACTAAAACAACCTGCGTCAAATAACAGATATTTTTTCCTGTGTAAATCGGGTTAGGCCGAAGGAAATGAAACTAGCATTCTAAAAAAAGTGTTTCGTGTGTGGAAAATTTGGCTGTGAGTTCTGCGTAATCCCCTGCCTTGAAGTAAAGCCCCTAAGCCCGCACGCAGATTCTCCTCTTAATGCACGCGCATTTACCTTAGCTACTTAAATATTTGACAAGCAGTTGTTTATGGATTCACCGTCAAGCGGCCATTTAATTTATTCTAAACGGCATAACCAACATTTTTTGAAATATATTTTCCACAACCATATATTAATGGAAGCAAACGGCTACATCAGCGGCTGACTTAGCAATTTGTTAAAACTACTGTGATCATATGTTTCATTTATTATCAAACAGCAGGACCCATAAGGAAACAAAATAGCAAAAACAGCTTGAGTAAAGTAAACAAAAAATTGCTTTTTGTCTATAGTCAGAACGTTATCGGTGTCTTTCAGAAAAATGCAAACGCGGGTCAGTCGTTTCGATTGTTTCCTTGACCCTACCAAAAGATAAATATTAAGGACGTGGACATTCATCTCCGAAGTACCCCAGGAAAGGCCTTTGTTCAAAGAAAACGTACTAGATAATATATCCATTTCATAAGTGTATATTTATCGTACGCTATCTTTGTGGACGTTCCTGCTCCAAGCTGATTTGATTTGATGTTTGAGAGAGCTTAACAAAATGACCCAGGCCGCATGCTGCACAAAAAGTATGCTCGAAAACCGCTATTTAAGCGGTTACCTTCAGGAAAAATTTACGTTTAATATCTTCCTAAGGACGAGCTGCAGAACGTTTTTAAAGGTTAGTGGAACATGTAGAAAGCCGTAAGCATTTACTGATATTTCAAGAACATCTTGAATATTAGTCGACTTTAACTTTGCCAACATCCACGGAATACTTTCAAGGCGCTCTGTTGGTGCACGGAAACACCGTATCTGCTTAAATCACTTAGTCACATACCAGCATCCTAACACGTTGTCCTGTAAAAACCATTAGTACTTTGATCTTGATATCTCGCCAACATAATGTTAATTCAAACACTTCTTTCGTGTTTTCATCAAAATAAACCAGAGCTCGAAATCCAGCTCGAAATCCTCTTTAGCCAGTCTCCCGATTTAAAACCCTTCGGTAAACTGCTATTAACAGTAAATTAGGGAGGCTCCAAGGAACAAAGGTACCACCTCAATAGTCTCAGAGAGCTTCGTGAAAATGAAAATATCGTGCTAATTACACCGGGTAAAGGCTCAGGAATAATATTAACGGATAAGAAGGGTTATGTAAAGAAACTATAAGAAATCTTCTCGGGGCGTAAAAAGTTCTCGAAAATCGGAGAAAGGCAGGAATCGGACCGAGACCATCGAGAGTCAGTTAACGAACGTGCTCAAAGATCTCCACAAAAAAGACTTTTGTCTGACAAAAAGTTTAAAGGAATAAACCTGTAGGTACGACGATGCCCAAAATGTACGGTTTCCTAAAATCCACAAACGCCAGATACTACTACATCCAATCGTGGATATGAGAAATTCCACGCACAAAGATCTCGTAAACCGAGAAATACAGGGATCGGACCGAGACCATCGAGAGTCAGTTGACGAAAGTGCCTAAAGATCTCCACAAAGATGGGTTTCTGTCTGACAGGTGGCTTAAGAGACTACGACCTGTGGGTACGAAGATGCCACAATGTACAGACTTTCCAAATTCCACAGACAAGGGCTACTATTACGTCCAATCTTAGGTATGCGAAATTCGCCCTATCACGCCATTGCAAAATTGCTGATACAAAAGTCAGAGCCGCCTTAAATTTCTTTGTGCCTCGAAGTTTGAAAGGCAACTTTGTGTTTGTCGAGACCATGAAGAATATAAACGTTGGTGGACAGACGATGCTGTCTTCAGATGTGTTACCATTGTTTTCCAATGTACCCATTGTAGAGACAACAAACTATCTATACAACTTCATTTAAGAAACAAACTACCCGAGAGGCATGACACTGGAGGCCTTAAGAGAACTTCTTACGCGATGCACACACAATGTCCACGTCCTCTGCAACGGCCATCTATACAGGAAAATAGACGATATGGTGGTGGGCTCACCGCTGGGGCCATTGCTCGTAAATATCTTAATGGGCACGGTCGAGCAATCGAGTTTTAAGGATACCATAAATGATCTTGACTTCTAAGGACAATATGTGGACGATATATTTTGCCTGACAAGTCCTACCACCGACTTCGATGACCTAATTCGGAAGTTTAACAAGGCGCATCCCTATCTGAAGTTTTCTCTAGAGACTGACGCGAATAACAAAATCGCGTTCCTCGATGTCCTGGACAGACAAGAGGGTGGGTATATCCAACACAAGACACCACGAAGGAAAACTTGGACGTGACAATACATCACTTTTCACAGTTTTGTTTTCCCTAAATCAAAAAGGGTATTTAGTACAGGGACTGGCGGCTAGAGTGCGACGCATGTACTCTCCTGAAATTGTTGAGGCAGAATCCCAGTAGCTGCAGAACACGCCCACGAAAACGGCTATCCAGAGATATCCATCCTCCAAAACATTAGGCAACGTGTCACAAAGCCTGTCGTTGCAACTGCAGAAAAGAAAGACATTCCTAAGAATGCATATTCAAGGAGACGCAGCAAGCAAATTATTGAGACGACGTCTAAGGACGGCTATCATGAGTGTCTTCCCCGCGGCGAACTTGCGCATTTTTGCAAACTCTTCCCTACTACGGCTGGAGGGCAAAGACCGCATGCCGTTGCAGGCCACATCGATGTGTATTTACTTGTACACCTGCTTCTGTGGAGGAAGATACATTGGTCGTACCACGTGGCGTCTAGAAAAGGGGCACGCAAACACATGCCTGTCTGGCTAGGAAAAGCGGAAAATTGATTGAATTCCAGCTCAATGTTTGCACATCTAATCGATACAAATCACCAAGTCGACGCAAAGACGTATTTGAAGTTGTCTACCGGGCGTCAGCATAATACTGTCAAGGCCTACGCGGCAAAGATAGAGTGTAGGACCCACAGCTAATTTCAGCTAACCTGTGGACCGTGTCATTCGTTGAATTATGGTAGAAAGGTCTTCTCGCGTGATGCAGTACACAGGACGAAGAACAAGAAGACCCAGAAAATCGATAAAATTCCGCAAAAGTCTTGTAATACGCTATCATTTGAATGTGAGCACGATGATTAAAAAAAAGATAGGCAGGCGTATGGTAACTAACCCATGAAAAAACTGCAGTTAGCTACAACCCTACCATCAGTTGTGGCCATGTCCGTCATGGGTAACCCTAACGTTTAACCCGTGCGCCTTTAAGGGAAAATTAGAACGTAACCGCGATCTAAACCCAAGCCCTAAAATCCTTACCCTTACTGTGACTCCTAATCCTAGAACCCTAACCCTGACACAGGCCCTGACACAGGCCCTGATCCCAACCCTAATCTTAAGACGCCAACGCTAAATCAAAAACCTTAACCTTAGTCTCAACTCCAAATTCAGACCATAGCCCAAGCCCGGCAAACATAGTCCAAAGAATAACCAAACACCTGGAACGAACAGTAACCCTAACGCTTACCTTTAGCCCGATAAGGGAAAAGTTGACATCAATAACGCTAGTGAGGGTCAAAATCCGCGTATCGCATAACCGCTATTATGATCTGTTGCCAGACAAGTCGCTATGAACCATACCTATCTTAAAAAGACAAGACGGCAGATTTTTGAACAGACATATATGAGGCTCGCATACTCTACGATCACCAAAAGCGAATTTCAAAAAATAACGGACACAGAATAAATCGCCTCTGGTAAGTTACCATTTAGTTAGGAAGAGAAGGAAATTTCAGACAATGGAAACGATGAATAACAAGTGATGTGAATGAAGGCGAGCATTCGAGTTCCAGGTGTATGCATAAATGAAGAAAAGTCGAGCACCGGAATACTTAGTTTATTATCCTGAGCTTTCAGACTCGTACAGGAGTCCATCGTCATAGGTAGCAGCAGCAGCAGCAGCAGAACAAGCAACAGTTAAAAGGCATGTAGGTCAATTATCGACCTGGAGGTGACTACGCAGGGCGCTGTACACCGGCAAATCGGCCGAGTAAACTGCTTAGAGAATACCGACATAAAAATGTGATCACGGAGAATGAATTGCACCAAATGAAGGCAGCTGACACAGCTCTAGCTCAATTCTATGGTCAGCCGAAAATCCATAAAGCAACTGTCCCACTTCGGCCAATCGTTGCCCTAAAAGGCGGCCCCACCCACAATTAGGAAAAGTGGATGTACTCAAAACTGAAGTTCCTCCAAGGCAATTCGAATACCTGAATTCGATCAGTCTCTCAATTCCTCATGGACCTCCGAGATCGGAGAATTCAATCGGACGAAATCATGGTCTCCTTCGATGTGACGTCGTTATTTACATCCATCCCACCAAACTTGGCCAGCGAAGTCTTGCGCCAGAGTCTTGAAGAGGCGTACGATGAGACTCTGAATGCACTCAAAATTGAGCACCTCATGAGGCTGTTTGAATTCGGCCAACAAACGTTCTTCACTTTAGCGGGAAAGACCTATGAACAAATCAAAGGAACCCCCATGGGCTCACCGGTTTCCGGTTTAGTGGCAGAACTGGTCCTACAAAGTTAGAAAAGATTGCCTTCACCAATTTTGAATCGGTGATTCGGCGCTGTTACTTTGAAGAAACGTTCGTCATCGTAAAGAAGGACATGCTGCAACATTTCCTCAGCCTGCTCAAGGCAGTCTTCCCTGATATAAAATTCACGAGGGAAGAAGAACAGGAACAGCAGTTGCCCTTCCTGGATGTGCTTGTCAGACGAAACCTTAACGGTGAATTTGAAACGACGGTTTATAGGAAAGCAACGAACATCACACAGTTTCTCAGTTTTCACTGTAACCATCCGGTGGCTCATAAACGAAGCTGTGTGAAGACGCTCTTCAAAAAAATCCAAACTCATTGCAGCAAACCGAAGGACAGAGCATGTGAGGCCCGTTAACTCCGCAATCAGTTTGTGCAAAATGGTTATCCGAGGGCATTCATAAGTCGCTACATACGTGGTCGTCACCAGAGAACTGGCACATCAACGCCACCGATGATATGACATTCTCTGCCATACATCAAGGTCGTTTCAGAAGCGACTGAGCGCATTGCTGTGGAGCTGGGTGTTGGAATTTCACACCGCCCCAAAGCCACTATGCGCAATAGGGTCATGAAAATCAAAGACTGGCTAAAACCTGAAGAGCAATCTGGAGTAGTTGAACGCATTCCGTGTCAAAATTGTCCTTGTAATTTCACAGGGCAGACTGGGCGCATGCTCGGATCGCGCATACATGAAAATAAGCTGGCTGTGCGACGAGACGACGCATTATCACAAGTGGCCGCTCACACCTTCGGATTGGGTTACGAGTTCAACTTCGCAGTCACCAAAATAGCCGCCCACGCCGGAAACAAAACAGGCCGATAAGTGATTGGAGCCTGGGCCTCGGATGAGAACGCGGTCAATCGATTTATCGATCTGGCGCCGGCGTACAGAGCACTGCGTACTCCCCTCCAGTCTTTCGCCGTCGGTCGATGATTGGCCTGCATGCCATATAACTGTCGCTTGTTCTGCTGCTGCCACTACCTCTGACGATGGACTCCTGTTCGAGTGAAAGCTCAGGACCATAAACGAAGTATTCCGGTGCTCGAAACTTCTTCACTTAAATAAGTGATGTTTACAGCCACAGTGAATTTTAGAGTATATATTTTAGCAGCCATCTACTTGTGGGTCCTACACCCTATCGTTTTCGCCTACGCAAACGGCCGATACAAACAGAAGAGGCAGTGGCCATTTGACCACCGAATCCAGCGCTCTGCTGTCAGAAAACGCTGGCACAGATAGTCTTCCGCGGTTATTTCTAACTAGTGATCGCACGTCGCCCCAAAGCCCTGAGAACAGTCACACGCACTCCGCGTGTTTGACATACATACAGCGTTCACAATCTAACCACACCCCCCATACCTCCCCTCCTCACACCCCAGCTCCACTGTCATCAACATGCTCATTCTGTAATGCGGGCAGCTTGGGAACAAGGAGTTTACGTAACCCTGCACCTGAGACATGAATGAAACCTGTCTATAGCTCACAAGTTCATTCTCCATGTAATTGTATTAGCCTGACAATGAATTACCGAAAACCTATTTTCGCCAGCTGACTTCATAATAATTTGAGTCAACGGTTATTTTGAGGATAAGGTAAATGCGCTTGGGCTGGTTTTCTAATACCAAGGGATTTTTCGCTAATGTACGCCCACTTTTTGAATTATATCACCTAGGTTCTATTCAACTCCCCTTGTGTAAAACATCTGCGGCTGAAGTGTCATCTAGGATGTCCCAACGTTTACCAATTTAAACGTAATTTTCGATTGACATGATATTACTTCTATGTAATATCTATCATAGATTTTTTCATAATTATTATAAAACGGTCACAAGAGAACTCTCTAAACGAATTTTTTAAAAAGTGGGGATCACAAAGGCATGTGCTACCATTTTTGCTTTCCATTCTTTTTAATGTTTAATCAAGTCCGTTTTGAGTTTAATGACAAAGACTTTAAAGGTTATTTAGTACGGCATTAGCTACGCATCAAACTGAGAAAAGCCATGGTCCCCATCAGGTGACCATCAGTAGGAACGTTTATATTGCAAAAACATGGTAGGCAGACAAAAGCCATAATATTATGCCTTGGTATTCCACTTTTCTTATAATGCCATTTTATATAATTGCACATGTTTCCTTGTTTCCCTATGGAAAACACAAGAGTAATAATTGAATTTACGAAAAAAGCTCTTACATTTTCAGGGTCTAAGAAGATATAACTCCTTGCGTGCAAACTCATCAAAGTCAATGCACACTAAACAAATAAAACGCGGAAAAATTGGATACGCTTTTAAATCTGTTAATATACAATACGTAAAAACTGCGATCACTGATGTTTGAAGGGGTATTTGGGGGAGTCTGAAGATTTACATCCGAATGCACCTGTTTGTACAGGTTAATTTTAAAATGTTAATTTGTGCTGCAGTCTTGTACCCGCGGTAAAGTTGAAGTGAAGCTTTGATTTGTAAAGTCCATTAACTACTGAAATGCTTTATTTATATTGACAACAATACATTCTCGGGGATAATCCCTTGGATCACTTAAATCTTTATGATTATTTCTACTTTACTTGAAAGTTTGACTACGCAGAAGACGCAAAGTACAAAATATAAGAGGTTTTGGCATTCAAAGAAACAAAGAAGGAAATTTCAACGTTAATTTATAGCCAACATAAGAAGCGTCGTTGACGTCAGTTGCAATTGTGTCAGAGGGGCTCTTGTATAAAACAAATATCCACCTGGCATGCTAATTATGGTATGTGATTGCTAAAAAACCGTTCTTCTTTCAGCGGAATTAAAGTAGAAAGACCTTGCTATTGACATAAAAGTGAGAAATATGTTGAATTAGAACAAACAGTTAATACGTGTTTCGAAAGTGAGATTGGAGGTTTCTTTCTAGGCTTTCTCTTTCTGGAAGAGAGGGTTTGGATCAGAGGAAAGCATGTTGCTTTTTAAATTTATATTTGCTCGAAAGCTTGTTTGTAATGCGACATTTTTACCTTTCGTTATCTTTTGGTTTTGCGGCTTGTATATTGGTAGGTGGATGTGTGGGCCAAAACTTTGCTGTACTTTTCATTTGAGTCAGTTACCGCTAGTGCATCTAGTCCTTGAAATATACCCGGAGTCAGTGCATAGGAAGTCGTAAATTTAACGGAAGCATGGAGATGAGCGCATATCATTTCCGTTTCCTGAAATCTTGTTGTTGGACATAATTATATTCACCAGAATCACAGTGGTAATCTACAACTACTTGTCTAATCATCCTTTCTTAAGGCGAAATCATGCATTTGAGAAAGCGCATAGAACATCGGCTACACGGATTATAAGAGATATTTAATTTCTTTGGCTCGATGACACTTCAGTACACTTAAATAAAGGAATGGTTAACTTATTAGACGGCTGCATGATGAATACAAGGTAAAAACATAATTCTATAGCTGAATCATAATTTAGCATTCGAATAGTCATTGCAGTATAGAATCCCGACGAGATCAGGTCTACATAATACTGAGTTACGATAATAACTTAAATTAAACATCTTTACACGCTTCTCTTTATTCATTCACCTGCTCATGTAGAGTGGGGTATATTGGCCGTACAACGAGGCGTCTGGAAAAGGAGGTACTCAAACACATGCCTGTCTGGATATGTAAAGGGTAAAATTAGTTGATTTCAAGTTCATTTTCGCACATCTAATCGCTACGAATTACCAAGTCGACGCCAAATAAGCATTTGAAGTTATCTATCGGGCGTCCGCATACTACCCTAAAGGCCTGCGCAAACGGGTGCTAGCCTCAGCCGGAGCAGTAGCCATTTTTGTAGCTAACCTAGCACTCTGCTGTCGGAAGACGTTGACACCAGCAGTGCGTCTTCCCTGGCCGTCTTTGGGTGGTGATCGCACGCCGTCCCGACACCCTGAGAATAGTCGCACGCACTTCGCGTTTTTGACGTAAAGACGGCGTTCACTACTTAACCTGAACCCCTCTCCTTCCTCCAACTCACATCCCAACTCCACCGTCCTCAGAAGCCTGACTCCGTCATGCGGACGACGTGGGAACATGGTCTGGCTTACCATGCCCCCTACGACACATAGTCTATCCTCAATTAAAAACATCATTACCTATGTAAATGTATTAGCCTGGTCATGAGTTTTTGAAAACATCTGTTTGTCAAGTGACATTTCGAATGTATATTAAGAGCACTTATTTGTGTTCTAACTGGTAAAATACACCTTATCAGTTGAATTCTGAATTGCGCCGTGTGTTGTGATTCATAATTTACAACATATATCAATATATGACAAAGTACAGGCTGAAATTTAGTGTCACTGTCATTCACTTTAGCGGTTCGGGTGAAAAAGCCGTACAAGCATCGAAAAGGCATAGCTCAAAGGTATTCCATGACGGAAATATTGAAACGATACATGATCGTCGGCTTTAAATGCTATGCAAATTATCCTTATATATTCAGAGCCACATAGATCCTGAAGTACTACTTTTAGACTCCAATTGGAAGAGTGAGAGTTGTATTCTGGTTTCCGCCCACATAATTCAGGCACGTTCTACTCCTAGTTTCTGTGGGTATTGATCAATCCAAAATTTATTTCTTTAGCTACAAGTATGGAAAGCACTTTAAGGGGTTCAGACGAGGCTGGTGAGATGCGAAATGTCTTATGCATACAAACATCAGTAGAGAAATTGTATGCTGTTCTTTAAATAAGCAATTTCTGTGAACTCAAAAGACACAAGTTGCGGTTTTATGAGCAAATAAACATGAGAAAGACAGTTGCTAGGTTGCCTAAAAGTTTAAAAATATATACTATCATAACAATACCAGAACATAGTGGAGCATAGTCGACGTTCAAGAAAAGTCAGGTTATCATAAATAAACATTTTGCAATTTAGAATGAGGAGTATTCCTAAAGGTGTGACCCATAGGATTAGTCAGATATTTCCTCTATCGGTAAAGTCTTATTTTTCTCTTGTAGAACAGTGCGAATATGTGTCGGCTGCTCGCTGGAAAACAGAAGCTTCTGAATAATTAACTATTTTGGCTGATTTGGATTCCTTTTATTTACTTCTGTTTTACCTCCTGGCAATGAGCGGAGTTACATTCGATTTTATCTTTGCCGTAGTTTTTAAGTTCTTTGGAACTCAGGCGCAGAAAAAGTATGCTATGCTTGTTACAAATAACAACGATTAATGAAAACTCTGAGTTCTAAGGGAATCTATAATCTGTTTAATAAATCCTGTGTTTGCTAAAACATCGTATAAGACAATGGTTTTCCATAGTCAATTTTGTTGCGACTTTGAATTGAAAATGTTTAAGACTAAAAACGCTCTATGTTACCGTAGCTTCCCAAGAGAAAGATTAGTCCAAACGCGATGATCATGGCCATAAAATCTTCTCCTTAGGTGTGCAACATTCTTTTGTGCAAATGAAACACTTGATCACTCTTTAAATACGGTATTCAAGGAGCAAAGTTCGTAAGTTTTACAAGCCTTCAAGTTGTGTCAGCGCCTACGAATTGTGCATCGTTTGTAGCACGCATCGCTAAGCGGACATTTTAAAATCATGTGCTTCGTAACTAGCGCGGCGTTTGTGAACGTCGTAAATAGAAATGGATTTTGCAAACCAGAGCGCTGATTTCATTCTTTAGTAAATGTTGAAATTTCGAAGAAAATAATTAGAAGAGAGTATGAGAAGTCAAACTGGCCGACTATGGATGAATCTTCCAGTAACAATATACTTAGACTGATGTGCTGGAGATAAATCCTTCAGAGATCCTTTAGGGAATATTTCATGTGTCATAAATATACCTTTTATCTACACCATATCATGGTTGCGCACGATATTTTGACCGTTTCTTTCTTCCCTAAGGTAGTCTGTTCCGGTTAATGTCTAAGAATATGTCTTCTATATATCACAAAATACACGTGATGTGGTCAGAACATTGCGACTTGAGACAAACAAACCCATTTATAGCAAAAATGAGTCAGTTTTGTACCTATAAATTTAAACACATTTTCAGTTATGCGACATATCTATGGTCTGCCTTTATGAACTGCAAACTAATTCTTCTTTCCAATCTAAGACTTTTTTGTGAACTCATGATTGTTACCACTTTGGTGAGAGCTTGTAGTTGGTATTGTCCACCACTATCACAAATTCTAATAAGTAAAAAATTTAATTCATTTTACAATGCAAAACATTTCTAGAATTTTACACATTCCTAAATACCCTTGTCCATTATCTGCATACTAGGGTCTTATTAGGTGGTCACCGAAAAGCAGTGGCAAGGATGAAATACAGATTTGCACATCGTGTCATAGAAAGAAACTATCCTCTAGTTACTCATCCCAATTCAGCAGATAAACTGCCCCCAACGTACACTTAGGATGCTGACGCTTTATGCCGCTGCAGTGCATCCTGTGCCCGGTTAGATTAATTGTATACTACGTTATCCAGTATCGGGGAAGGTGCTTCTATTTCCTGGACTTTAGTAACTAAACGTTTTGATGGCTGTCATTGTTTAAAGCAAATACTATAACTGACAATGTGTAATTAACCTTTTTTCCGAATAACGGGCCGTCATTCATGCGTTTGAAAGCGCTGCCCTAAGCAGAACGACTTAGCTTTGGTCACACGCACCATAAATTTAAAGGCAAACATGGCTTATTATTTATATGTGAAAATATAAGGCAGTGGACAAAATAGGAATGTTTGCCGTCATGTCATAGTTCAAATGAAGATGACGTTCCAGCAACTGTACTGTTCAGCGAAGCATGTTGTTACCCTTTGTCTCGGGTATCCATCAAATATACTCAGAGATGATCGCGTATTGGGTAGTAGTTTAAATGAAAATAAATAATGGATCAGAAATTTACCCCGCAGTACCTGGTAAGAAGTAAAGGCGATCGCTGCAGCATCTGGGGTCTTTATAGATATGCCTCCCGGCTATTTACTTTTTGTCCATCTTTTTGAAAGTGACAGTATAGAAGAAAAACTTGTTTGCCATCCGTTAGTGATTTTGTTATTGGACGTTTTGCCTTGCTCTGGCCCACAGACAACCAAAACATTTTGCATGCATATTAAGTACACATTTCTGATTATTAGTATGACTACGACAACAGTGCGTTCACTCATCAAGCCAGGCAACAAGCTCAATCCGTCATGCCATGAGGTTCGGTCTAGAACCTACTAAGGCATCGACATAGCCACCAGGAAGATGTAACGAGAGAAGTACCGCTTTGTTCTCAGGACACAACGGGACGAGCCTGACTTGGAAATCGATCTGTGGACGTCAATTCAGCATATTCAATATTTCCATTCGTAACTGACAGGACAATGTGCCAGTGGCTCAAGGTAGAGCAGTCGACTCAATGATCAAGGATTCGGGGTTGGAAAACGAGTGGATACAAGCCTGGGTCTGGGTGGGGTTGGCTGATTACGTCCAGTAAGCCCGACGTGGTCGTTCCGGTGTCTCATCTTTTTGTTGACCCTCCTTTCAATTTTAATGCAACCCTTTGAGAAAAATATATGTTCCAGTGCTGCACATTTTGTCCTTGGTTATGGTCGCATAGGGTAATATATCCCAAAAATAATAAACTTTTATCATCTACACAAAAGTTTGTAAAGTCACGTTTTAACCGAATACCATTTAAGCGGGAAGCTTGTCCCTGACTTTCGAGTGCAGACATGATACCATGAGAAATATTGCTGCTGCGAAGGGATCTTATACGTTTTATTTACATCGATATTAGTCGTCTGGTGGGTCTTAAACGTCTTCTAACCTTCCTAACGATGAAACTAATTGCATCCCAGAAGGAATTAGGATGATGCATTTTGCGCAAGTCTCGTCTCTGTGCATCTTAACATTCGGTTTTGATGATCGCAAAGTGTAATTTACAAGGCCAAATGCAGAGGCCTTGTATTAAATTTCCCTGGTGCAGCAACCGATCTTTCGAAGAGTGTTCTATTTGCTCACGAGGACAAATTCGGACGTCAAAACACTGTTATTTTTTGTTAACTTATAATCGTCAGTCATAGTCAACATTCTGCCACATGTTTTACCGAGAAGCAGTAGGATTAGTATACAGATCCTCCATCTTACCTCACAGCGAAGGATAAAGTCGCGCGTTAGGGTATCCATCCACTTGACGCGTTTTTGAGTCAGCAGTCCATGGTCTAGTTCACTTTTTCACTGTCCCCTTAGGGATTTCTCGGCCGACAGAAAAGTTGCAATCTGCGCCGAAATATATGAAGCATGCAAAAATCCATAAACCACTTTGAGAAGTTCATATGACAAGTACCCATGTAGTGTCAAGCGCGAGAGTTTGCAAACAGGAATGGCAGATAAGTAGCCAATTCACAATGCGCAAGAATAAGAGGGATTTAACTGAAAACTAGGATGCAAGTGAGTCTCTTATTATAGCCTGATAGCCAGATTTGTGTTTTATTAGGAAACTGCGGGAGAAGACGCATATTTTTTTGAAAATACGTACTTATGCTCAAAAACAACAGGTTACGCTTGTTCAGTTGCACGTCGACCTAACCCACTTATATTTCGTGAAACACGGGTGTTTTGAGTGGGGGTGCACAACTCATAGGAGAATTCGCCTTCCATTGAGAGGTTATTTTTGAGTTGCGCCACCTTTCTTAAGCAAGAACGGTCAAATTTTCGTTTTAGCAGACAGTAAACTACTCAAAAAAATGCAAGAATAATGCTTTCGAAGACATGGTATGCAGTTAATTTATTTCAGATGAGCGGAACTCTTCTTTGCTTAATCAACTTGAGAGAAATGGTAATAGCACTAGGCCATGAATTCGATTACCCCAATATGCTTCCGCTTCTTTACTTTGATCTGCTAGTATTATCTTCTTACAGTACCACAAACCACTTACGTAAATCCGTTTAACTTAGTGTTTCGCGGAGAAAACAACGGATTGTACCCTATAAAATATATTCATGATGTGCAGACTTTCTGCAAAACAGTGGGGGCTCATTAGAGTAATTTCAAACTAAAAGGCAAGCTGTAAAACCGATGCTTGCAACTGCCTATTAAGTATTCTGTTACTACATGCATCACCCATCCTTAACCCATTTTTATTCTTAGATGAGTAGGATTCATAGTTTGCTGGTCCCCTTTACGTCAGTTAAACTGAAATTACAGTTACATAAGCGAAAACATCAGGCAAATTACGGTTTCTGTCTCACTCTGTTTTGCAGAAAATTAGACTTCGCTTTAATCAAAACATGGATTTGAAATGACCTTTCGTGTCCTGCGCTGTATCATCTAATTTTTTATTGTTGTATTTATCGGAATTTTATGGAGCCTCATTTTCGCCGGTAGAAAGTAAGAAGAACCGGTGTGCTCACAGCATTAATGGCCATATTGCCTTAAATATCAGGTTTTTATAGAACCCAAAAGCAGTTTTTCACATGGAAAAGCATCCAGATATTCAAAAGTAATGTGTTGTTCAAATGAATAGGTGTTCCAGGAACGCACATACGCTGCTCGTCTCCCATAAGTCCCACCATTCCTGCTTGTTTCGCAAAAGTGTGAGCACTGTTTTATTCTTTTAGGGCAGATAAAAACTGACAAATATTGTCAATGCTAGATCTTGCACGGAAAAGTAAGCGACATATATTTATATGACACCGATGCAAACATATTTCTACAGAGTTCTGCCATTTAAAACCTGAGATGTAGCTTTCCGGACGCCTTGTTGCAACATCTTAATTCAGAATTGTATACGAGGAACGCGGAGAAACCACCACACAGAACTGTTGTAATGAAGAGTTTCCCAGGACAGCTGACGGGAAACGCGGTGTCTCAAGAATGTACACAAGCCACACATACTTTCTAGCAATTATTCTCACTTGGAGGTACTTCCATTCATCGAGCTTTGAATTGCCCGTTCTATAATCTGACTCTTTGGCCAGCGATCTCATAAAACGGTCCTCTCAGTCCTGTGCTTCATAAAAATACAATAATCACCACAAGTGAATCACGTTGGCCAATTTTGCCATTCCATGTCATCTTTTTCAAGTTTTGTTTCCTCCAACACATTAGGAGCTGAAATACTTGGCAATCTGTTACCTGCCAACTAAGCTATCAGCAGCGGTCACCTTGCGGGCGCTTGTTCCACCAAATACATGGTATACGACATCAGGATGCTTTTCATCTCCAATAGTATCATAGATTAGTAACTCGAGAGAATTGCCATGGGCCGTCAATCTTCGGATTCATTGCGGTGGTGATAATTCAAAATCTCAGCAAACGCGTGTGCAAGATATGCGAACCAAAATTTCGGGCGTATCTAATCTCAACCTTCCAAAAAGTTTAAATACTTTCAAGCAAACGAAATACCACATCTTCAATTGTTAATTAGTAATGGAAAGGGAGGCAAAAGGATACGTTTACATTATAGTCGCCCTCGTCCCGCCTAAACCGGCGACAAACTGACAACGATAACATGCGGGAATCCAGTTAGTAAACTGAGAACACCTCCCTACGACAGCTCCTGCACGCTGCAAAGTATACGATGCTGCTGTCGCACTCTTCAGAAGTGAATGGAAGGCCACTGGAGCAGACCATTTGCTACTCAGGAGGAACCCACAGTTCCAGCAAGTATTAAGAGATAGCCGCTGTCAACACACATTTTGTGGATGTTTTAAACTTTCAAAAATGGTCCAAAGTGTTGAATCCAGTAAGATTAAGGATGGCAGGAAATTTTTTGGAACAATATATGCTTTGGGAATCAGGAATATATCTTTCGTGCCACAGCCAGTGGTCATCTCTCGCGGGACTCTCCGTACATTCCGCTGGCGATGGAGGAACCGAATGATCTGAACTCAAATGTGAGAGGTTAAGCGTCGTCTACAGCCTTAAATTCACCTGCTTGTGAAGAACCTATGTAGAAGAATTTATCATACAGCATCATAACACTGATGATTGATCATTTAATAGTGCTTATAAGGATAGATTAAAGGGCCAATATGGCATCAAGTACCATTCAGTCAAGGCAGATTTTTTAGTTTAACTTTCAAGCATGAAGTGTTCTTGTAAAATCGTAAATTAAGACGGCCATGGATGACCTGACTGAATGCCGCCTAAAATATGACAGGGGTTTAAAACAGCCCGTGACAATTACCAGCCACTGTTGCTATCACCAAGAAGGGTAGTCAAATAAAAGAACCCATTTTGGACCCCGTCTAGCCCACGGATATTAATAGCAAAGTAAAGGTATCTCGCGAGTCTTATGCTGAAAGTCATAAGCAGAAGATGATGCCTGTAAATATGAATAAAACATTTTGCAACTATAAAAAGCAGTAGGCAAGTAAATGTTGGTCGTTAATGCACAATACTTTCTCTTCCGGGTGTAGTGCCACTTAGATTTAGCTATGCATTATTTTCTGGTCTTTTTATCATTTTAAAAAAATCTCCACTCAAAATAACCAATGAAATTGAGCACGACCATCCTCGGATTTCATTGGTAACTAGGACGGTTTTGCCTAAATTTTATCACCTTGGGAAATGAGTGAGTGTACTAATCTCTGAGCAACAGTGCAAAGTAAAGCGAGTTATTGTGTTTTATCAAAAATGTTCTATTTGAAATGCAAAGATTATTTTTTCTAAGTGGGGCATTTATTATTTTTTGTAAATGCCTGTTTGTGCGACTTAATCTTCCGAAAGCGGAGTCTCCATGATTATAGCGTAAAGTCCAAACGCAGAGTTAAGATTGCGTTTAAATTCTGTCGTTACTATAAGCCCTTTAGTTGTTTGCCGAAAATTCCCTCAACTGGAACATTTACTGTACTTAGTTCGAAAATTTTGAGACAATCACCTTTTCCGCATACCGTTTTCTTGTTTGTTCGGTCGCTATGTTTTAAAGTTGTCCGTACTAAACATTCGAATTCTGGTTTCATTGTGGATGTGTCTATGTAATAAAGAAAAGGGTCCTAAGAACACTGTCCATATTGCTGTTGAATGAGAAGTATTGTATCCTTTAGGATTAACTTCACTTGTCGGTTGCTCTCAAAGAATCTCATGTTGCTTATGGATACGCAGTACTTTGGCTGTACACAAAGGTTTATTAAAAAAAAACTAGCCGAAACCCATCTCCGGAATTTTAACAATTTTAGCATTGTCTGCCACCTCTAGAAACCATTTGAAGGTTTAGATGTTTTATGCGGTATTTACTTTTAAAATTTACTTGCTATCGCATATCTATTTGTGTTCGTCTAATATTTTAGACTTAAAGCTATTCGCGATGTTATTTTGGGATCAGCGGCCACTATGGGTGCTTTTTTCGATAGCCAGCTTCTTGTTTTTGTGCAATGCAGCACATATACGATTCGCTCGAGGTAGGTTTCATGAATTTTGACATTTATAATTAGGTGTTGTTTGAATCCTTCCTGTACGGCGTACTTTTCCATCTGGTACACACAGTTGCAATAAAAACATATATAATTTGTATTGGGCTCTAGCGACAGTCACGTCAATGCGCGGTTGTTCCTCATGACGGATAAAAAGAGTGCTTTGAATGATACTCGGATTTCTCTTTAAACCTTATTTGCGGTCGAAATATTCAGGGCACGTTTCGGACACTATATATTTTGTTTACAAATTTCACCGGCACAATTTCGAGTGAAAAATCTTTCCTCAATAAGTTGAGCTGCCATACACGATTTACGATATCTGTCGCAATATCCTCTAAAGTTCACTTCTTTTTATGCAGATAATAAAAAGGAGAGTGGAAATGCTTGCCCCGAAAGCACTCCATGGCCCTGCAGAACGGCCAGTTTCTGCTTATCTTTCGACTTTATCTGCGACGGTGAAGAAGACTGTCCGGATGGATACGACGAAGATCAAGAAATGTGTACAGCAAGTATGTAAACATCCTCATGCGTGAAAATCACCTTATTATATATAAAACTTTCCCTTGGTGACCACGAATAAATAACCTCTTTTCTGAGTATCGTTTTATGCAAGAATACAGTATGCAACCTCACTCAGGGGACAAACGACAGATCACCATGGCATATTGCGTCGTCGCCGTTTTTTAAAATCAGTTCCTCCGCGCTCTCGTAACTAAATGGGATTAAATATACTTCTTTTGGGAAAACGACCTGGAAGGACTGCCAAAATTTATCATGCGCTGTTAGATCTCGTGATAACCCAATCGTTCTCTGGGGGGTCTAATTTATGGCACGTGTGCTCTTCTTTAAGTTGGTGTAGAAAAATCTAACGGGAAGACGCAATATTCTACCTTAACATCTATCCGAATGTTTACCTTTTATCAGGATCTTCTTTCCGCCGTTTAGCTATACGTATCGGACCACTACTATGTGATAACATGGTTTTTGATCTCTGAGTGGGGTTGCATACAAGGTCTTTGCCCGTTTTATTTCTATTAAGTTAGACATACAGTGCGGGATAAATGAACTTTTTAAAAGTCTGTCAGAAATTTATGACTCATGCAATGATAGAGGTAACTTTATACAGTTTTTGACGTGAATCTCAATCAACAGGTTTGAATGAAAAATGCTGCGAGTACTCCAGTATCTTCATTACACTAAACCTCTTCAGTAAGTTCGATTCTTACTGAAAATGACTTCTGCTTAGGCACACTTTCGGTCACGTATTTATAATGTGATTGTTAAAACAGAACCATTGCTGATAAATCGGTATAGTTTCAGTTATGCTCAGTCAGTACTGTAACTTGGGGCCGAATTATTGTTCAAGCCCAACTTTTCCCAGCATTTTCAAAGTTATTTGCCTACTATCTGATTCTCTTCTACTACTAGCGATTAAGAATTACGGCGAATTTGAAGAAACACGTTTCGTTAGATCAATAATTCACGTGACCAAACTAAGCTAGTATCAGGGGCTTAAGAAATGCAACTTGCGGCACTGTACATGAACACATAGATGTCCTTATAGAACCAATATTACCTCAATCCTTATCTTTCTACTATACATGACGTTTCGTTTTGAAAACAGACACATCAAGCGGCAAAAACTTCTGAAGGATCTTTCAGCACATATTTAGTCAAAGATTAAGTAGATCATTTGAAACTGTTTTCAAGCAAAGCGACCTGCTTAAGTGCAGTTACGATGCCAATTAAATTGAACAGCATCCCTAACTAGTTCATGTGTGGTGGCGTATGTGGCATTAATTAAGCCTCTTTCTGGTCACCTAGGCAATTTGCCAAAACACTAGCCCATTGAATGCATTCGACTGTTGATTAAATATGTTCGCGTCTGTTGTTATCCATATTCATTAGGATTTAAATGCTTCGTCTCCATGGCCGTTACCAAGCGCATTATGTCTTCAACTTATATGAAGATTTTGGTCGCAAATGTTGGCTAGTCGCTCCGCTAGTTTCCGTATTTTCTGCATCTTTTTCTGTCAAGGAGCAAAACAGTATGCTTCCTCTCTTACAAAGCACGTTGACGCATACTTTCTATGAGAAAGGTTTCACAAAGCACTGATATGAGATAGATTATGTCTCATTATTTATAAGCATCGTCAATTTGTACTAAACTTAAGACTGCCTAAATAGTCCCAAAACGCCTTATCCTTATTTTTTAATCACAGGAAATTACAAAAAACCTCTGTTTTGCCATTAGGCGTCAATATTTGAAATCTTAAGTGCAGTATTTATATAAATGAATGGATTACGAGTTAATTTTATTCCTCGTTTTAGTAGGTAATGTAGTTTACTTCATCGCTCGTTTGTACATAAATGTTTAAAGAACGCGCTGGTTAGCAAAAAGTAGGTCAGTTGTACGTAAGCGCAAATGCAGTATTTTGTTTGCCACGCCCGTGTTATTTGTAAAAATAAATCATAAAAAGTCAAGTTACGGGAGAATCTATATTTCTAAGCATCACTTGGTTGGTTGCTAAACTTACTTACGTTTTCATGGAATAAACGCTTCCTTAGATGGCTATGAATTTAAGTCCGAGATTATATAGATTATTTAATTATCACTGAGTAGCAGCCGTGAACTGTCTTTTAAAAGCATGTCTTGAATAAGTTACCAAAACCTTAAACCTATCTTTAAAAACGTTGACTGCTTGCTACATGGTCAGCGATCCTTATGGATCTACAGAGTTACCAAACTCTACTTAATTAGATCATTGTAGAACCAGAATAAGAAGCTCAGTAAAACAGCCCCTAGTAGTATCCAACACCAGTATTTCGCAGGTTTCGCACTTGTCAGCGCTTATGTTGTACTTTGTCTTACGTGTGTTTTTATAGTTTTTAAATTTAGACAATAGGTTGGTTACCAAAGTCACCCAGAAATCAGGTCTTATTTTTTAAAACCAAACGATCATACGTAGAATGCTAATGGGTTAAACACGCGTAAAATAGGGCAGTCTGCATTGGGCGGGTATCTGTGTCCAAACGATGATAAAAATAAAATTGTCAACATATATAATCTTTGCTTCATAAACCATTTTATTCACCTATTTCCTCGGTCTGATCCATTTTCCGAACGACCTTCCAAAACGTTTGTAGGTAAGTATGCAATTAAGTTTCCAGGCTACTTTGTTACGCATACAGCAAGATATTTGATTTTAAAAATTGGAATATGTAACACAGAAGGTCAGAAAACTGAAGCATGCGATGCTACTTTGTCTATTAAGTACTAGCTCTTCTAAACAATTTGCAAGTCTGGCTTGTCATGTCCACGTCGCCTCTATTGCAAGTTGCCCAGGAGAACCCACTAATCTCATTGAATGCAGCAATCGTCAATGACATTAGGTTATAAAAATTTTTAAGTTTAATAACTTATCAAGTCTGGTGAACATAATCGCTCTGCCTTCTGTCTTTTGTATTCGACAGTAACGCATCATATCTTTAAGATGGTATGTTCTAACTCCAGTAAAGTACCTTACAATGCATCATATAAGTACATATACCATGAGGCACAGACAAATATAGGAATTTGGGTCAGGAAGATGAATCGCATTCTTCAGTACATCTACTTACGCCTCATAATGCAACTCCGGGCATGGCTGATGCAAAAGTAGTCCTTAAAATTTAGAGAAACTGTCATTAAGATTGATTTGTTGTTTTAAAATCAGGTAAAAATACACTGCGAGTACAGTTTAGTTTTTCGGTCGCAAAGAACGCTTATGTTGAGGGTTCAGACATCAATATCTTATGTTATTGTTTTTAGTTTAAAAATTACGATGAGATAGAAAACTAATAGCAGAGAAATCCCATGCGTCTTGCCAATGAGTATGCCAGATGTTTTGAAGACTTAACATTTTATTTTGTTTAGTTCATAATTGACTTAATGGTCAATCAGCGGCGAACGGGGAATGCTATTTATAATACACGAATTTTTGTTTAATAAAAAAATATTTTCAGAAGGACGTCCAGCAAAGGATTACTTGGTTGGCTTTATTCAGCGCTATAAGGACTGGCTAATTCCTAACTTTCTTGGAAACGGAACCCCGGAAGAACTGGCGACCAAACTTGTGGGTAGGTTTTGATCCTTTTTCATATTTTAATGTGTTGCATATAATTTTCCCCTTTTCGGCATATTTAAGGTACCTTGCCAAGCGTTTTCAGTCTCGTCCGCCTAATACATCATGATTCGCAGCAAAAAGTGCTCACCCTCTGTGTACAGCAGACTACACTGACGTCAATGCTTTAATTGCGGCTCCGTATACTTTAGCGACTGGTACATACAATGACCTCAACCAGAATGAGCTCCTGACGGTTAATTATATGGGCGCCATAGGGGCACGCAGAGCAGTGATAGTATCATGAAACCGGAAGTCCATGAAAATATAACTAAATGCCTACCAGGTTAAACGTAGGTAATATCTTATTTGGACTTCTATCTTACTTCAGAAACAGTGAACTAACTCAAATTGTTTAGGTTTTGAGTAACTGTCCGTTTTATGCAACCATCATTTGAATTTGAATTTCCTGCGGAATAAGAAATATTAATAATTTTCTTATCTCAATAATTTCCCTTTCACTGAATAATGATACTTTTTGTATTAAAACCGGTTCTTCGGCTTTTGTTAATGAAGAAAAGCTAAAGAAACCCTATTTTGATAAATACTAGTTTCCTAAACCCACGTGTGATGTTATTAACCGCGCAGCTGATGCAATATGAGAGTCAAAGCGAAGATGGAATTTTTGGGTTAAAAATGCTGACAAGAGAGACCATGTCGCTAATTACTCTTTTCGGTAATGCGATACGGTCTTTCAACAGATATTTGCCGACTGTCTAATTTCACTTCCTCCTACAACCCGTCAGACTAAACGCATTTGGAAGCGTGGTGCGAAAGAAAGCAGAACATAAATGCGCGGACCGAAAACCTCACTTAAATATAAACGACTGTCAGTTAGATTAAAATTCAAAAGGAATACTTATGATAATATTTAGCCGGTCAGGAGTAACCTGTTTTTTAGGAAAATTGAAAGTGCTAGTGGCGCGAAGTATGTTTTGAATGCGTAAATGTGATCTCTGTGAGAACATAAGATCTGTCCATTTAAGCAACAGAATAAATAGGCTTGAATTAATAGAACGGTGTTTAGAAAAACCTCTAAATTAATTGTCACAATAAATATCTTCTAGCAATAAATGAAAAACGCAGTGCGACATCCTGTCAGCAGGCGGTGTTTGGTAATATGCTCAAAATTTTAATGTAATTTTTTCCGTTTTGTATTAATACACTTACGGTTGGTCAAGGTGGTTGGGGATGAGGACATCGCAGGATTAAATGTTTCATAAAGTCGCAATTCAGGCGGTTGTAAATTTGGCCTGAATCAGTAGATGCTATTATTGTCGTGTCGTTTTTCCGTTTCTCCCGGAAACTGATCGTGTGGATTTTGGTGTCGCTTAGTTCTGTTAAATGTCAAGAGTCCTTAAAATATTAGCGTGTACTCTGCACTTTTCGAACCTCTTAGTAAACTGCTCGAAAAGAAAGACTGAGCATATTATGCCTGTAAAGATATTTAAAATAACTCAGTTTTCAAAATTATTCAACTGAGCAATACGAAGTCTTCTTATCTAGATAGCTGTTCGCGTTATATTATTTGACTGAGTCAGAAATTAGATCATATCATTGAGGAAATTGATCGTCTACCAATATGCCTCTGAGAAAATGCAAAGCACCATCTGATAAGTCATCTTTCAAAATGCTTCTTTTTGGGTTAAGAATATCCACTGTCTCCATGTCTTTTTCGGGGTAAGGTCGAGAGGACATTCAGAACGATTGATACGCTTATGCACCTTTCTGACATATACCGGCACTTTTCGGCCGAGGACAAAGGAATCTTCTCTTTCCTCCTCAATGGAGTCATTTTATTAGTTTTGTATCCTACTAGGTCTTGTTCGCAGCTTTAGAATGCTAAATAAAGTGACAGTATAAATACTAAAATACTGTTCAGGCAGAAAATGCTGTGACTCTTCAGTTTCTAAATTATTTGCTGACAAAACTGGGCTGTGCAAAAGGCAACCTATTATGTAATGGTTTAGTGGTGAATGTTTCTTGGCTGCTTATGAATAATTTGCATATTTTAACAAAATCCGAGTCCCTTTATGCATAAATTTGCCTGCAGGCATTAGAACGGCATTTTAGGTTACACAATTATGCCAATTAACGAATCGTAATTTTAAAAGGGAAAAACGTTTTCTATTTCTGTCAGTAGCGCGCCTCCACTCTACTTGCTTAACCTGATTTACCCGATATACAGAAACCACCTCTGTGTAGGTTGGAGTTGTTTGACACATTTTTACTGTTTTCACCGTCTTAAACTAGAAACACACGTACTCATGCAGGAATGATCGCTTGAATATAAGACAACGTTGGTTTCTACCCCGCATTATCAGCATTTGCTGGGATAAACTAACATAACAACATATCCCTTTCTAAAAAAACACTTCTTCCAGAATGAGTCAGACTATCCAGTAGAACCCACAATGGTTAATGTGTCCAGGACAGCTAAGTTACATTTTAGTCACCACATTTCAGTATTTACGTCATCCACTGAACTTTTCAGTTATTATAGTTGCCTGGCACGACCAGCTCCTTATTGTCCGTAGAATAAGTTGAACTGTGAAACTACCAACGAATACAAAATATAATAAATGGTTAACGCAAACAGAATATGCACTAATGCCTGATCTTATGAAATATTAACCATACTTTTGAACTGGGCTTTCATCTGGGAAGGGATATTGAAGTGCGATTGTAGTATTGATTAGCATGAGATGTAATTTAATGATATTTCTAACTTTGAATGCTTTGATTTTAGCTTTTAAATGCACTTCTCCGGCCGACTGCAACTACTGCCCTCGACAAAAGAACGGGCCACTTAATCTATATGCATATTTTTTATTGAAATGAGATGTCTTTATAGGTTTAAATATGTTTCACAGAAAACGTTTACAGAAACATCCTTTTATGCACTCATTAAGCAGCAGCCTACGTATTCTACCCTATCTTCTGGCGTTTTAAAGGTTGCTAATTTTGAGATTCCTTAAGACCGCGCAATATCCATTGAAGTGGCATTCCACATGTTCGTTTACTGGTGCACATCGTGAAGCATACGACAAAATTTACATTTGTTGTAAATCCTATGATCCTCACATAGTGTCTTATCAGTGGGATAGTGGAATGTAAGTTTTCTCTTGAAAGTATAGAGCAGGTAGACCGAATACCCTAAACCTAAATGCAGTGGATGATTGGGATCAATAATATTCAATAGTGAAAAACCTTTTCAAAGACCAAAAATGTTCCTTTTAAATGTAGAATTTGAAGATGTTATCTGTAACTAAAAAAAGGATTATTTTGTTGTGGATTATTTTTAGAAAACACATTTGAATTTATAAGGGTATCTGAAACATGTACATACTAATTTATTTGTCATTTACCGAAGACGGCATCCGCAGTCCATTAAAAGGAAATGGATTCAAAAGCCACTGTTCTGGCATGTCCGTAATATGATGAAACTATGTCGCATAGTCACCAGTATTACAACCCCATTCAAGTAATCCCTCCTAAGCGAAACCGAATTTCAGAATTTCGGCTAACATTTCATGAGGACGGACACTGACTGTAACAACCAGTTATGCACTTTTGGCAAGCGCTGCGGTCCGAAACTTTGAAAATATGTTTCACGTAGAGGAGTTTTTAAATCTACTAGAAAGCGGAACAGTTATTTAGAAATACAACTCCAACACAACAATCTGGACAATCCTTCTTCGAAAACGATCTCAGTGCTTTTTTCACAGTTTTAGGCCTCAGCTACGATAAAAACATATCTGCTGGGCTTATTCGCGTTGGGATGTGAAGTGAAGTGGAAGTGAAAGTGGAAGTGGAAGTGGAAGTGAAGTGGACTGTAATTTATAAGGCTGCAATGTTGACAGGAGGATAATAACGACTATTGCAAGCTCCGAAATGGGGGAACAGGGAGAACTACGATCTATGTCAGTGAGGCAGAGGATGACGGATTACTTCATAAGAATAGGCGAAGCGCGTGTTGTCATCGTGACTGGGCGCGTTGGAGGTAGGATTAACCAATAAATTGATTTTGGGGACCCGTATAAAGTATGCTAAATTCAACAGGGCGATTAGTATTTTGACGCCGAAGTGCCATCTCTCGAGGAATTCTTGTGACTTTTTGCTGTGGTCCCCAAGGACGGCCTTCGACATAGTGCATAAAAACGACGAGGACGAGTACAGCGCTAATGTCTCTTCCGTTGACAGGTGCAAGGCTGTTTCGGTTCAGTCTTTAAGCCTCCGACTTTAGCAACGGAAGACTTAACTTTGAAACATTCGCTCATGTAAATCGAATTGACTGAAATAGTCTTTCCAGAACCCGGCGACAACTTTTGATCTCGTTTTTCTTTATGACTACTGAGGCGTTGTCTGCTAAACAAGGCCTAAGTCGGAACTTAGGCCGGCAAAATGCATTTGTTTGCGGCTAAATTATTTCAGTAAGCCATATTGGCATTAGGAAGCCCATTGGTGTTCTCCTAACATATCAGTTGCAGCTACTGTCAGAGTTCCAATAGTGTCTGAGACAATGCGAACGACTGCGAGATAAATGCTACAGAGAATGTATGAGCAGCTATAAACGATGGACATCCATGCAGCGCTTATTTCGGGTGTTTGCGCAATCACACTCCTATTGCGTCAAGACGAAGCAGGAAATCCAGATTTACAAGGAGGCCCACATCCTCCTTTTTTAAGGTTTTTATTAAGTGCGTGCTATCAATCGCCTTCATTTTTTAAATATCTTTTTGCAGAATAATTGCACACTTTACATCCTTTGCTATCTATAGTCGTGGCCGTCCGTAATCGTTTATTGGGCTTTAGCTGTCGGCGATAAACAGATCATAAATAATTATCTTGACCTCTCTCGCCTCTCTTCGGCATTTCTTCTATTTTCGCGATCGAAATTCTATTAAGCGAAGAGCCATCGCCTTTGTTTTTTACTCTTCCTGCAATCTACTAAGGGAAACGTACAAGAAACCTGTTTTTCCGCTCTTGGAATTGTTGCCGGCTAGGCTGCTCTACGATCTGACATGCGCCATGAAGGTTTCGGGTTTTCTGGAGTCGTACTGTGATGAGATCATTTGTTTGAAAATTTTTAAATACTACATTCGTAGTAAACAAATGTTTTCTGACTATCGTGTTGCGCCATGTTCACGCTGGTCGTTCGTGTCTACAGCCTTCTTTTCACTGGTGACCTTGAATCAAGGCCCAGTTCCCGACGATAGACACCAGTTAACCCACGGGTGCATATAGATTAAACTACACTCACTTCTGTCTTATGTATTCCCGGAGATAATGATTCCTCGCTTTATCCGTTACGATCATACGTTTTTTTAGCCTTCGTCGTCAAAAAGGTCAGTCTTGGTCAACAGAAGTGCATTCGTACCTCAGCAGTGAGACCCTTATATTTCAATCCAATTATAGGTGATTATCTTGCGTTTTCAACTGGTCTACCCTTGATTTTGACTTGGTTTCCAACTGGCTGAAGACAAAAATCACATCTGCAATGATCGTTTTGATGTTCATGTCTTTGTAACCCAGACGTAACATTCTTTGCTCAATGACAGACGCTTTTATAGGCTGTACTGGGAGGCGCCAACACAGTTTGTTATACTGATCACGGAAATCGCACTAGGTCATGAATTCATCCTTGGAATTCAAATAGAATGTAAATCTATTTTTCGCATATCTGGCTGCATAGCAACTTTAGCAGGGATACACGGCAGTCGGGGCAAGAATGTGTGGTCAGCGGTTTGTGTCACCTGTTTTGTAGACATTTGCTTTGTCATTTTACCTGTTTAAACCACCAAATCAGTAAAATTGGACGTTTTTAGTTGCATTATTAATCTGCCTAATGTTTACATTCTAGAAAGCCCTACAATTGAGGACTATTCCACGACGGCTAACCTCGACAAGGAACAGTTTGCACTCTTCTACCAACTCATGACGGGCGTTGCCGAGGGGAAACAAATGCAACTCCTGATGTTGGGAATGCCTCTGGGTGCCTGGGCGGAACTATACTTTCTATTTAATCGCATTGCCAGTAGTGGATTTCTCCAGCTGGACTCGCATGACTAGCCCCTTTAAAACAAGTCGTCATCTAGAGCGTCGGAGCAGAGTATGGTGTGTATGCGCAAAAAGATTTTTGGCTTGTGCTAAATCGAAGTGACGTATTGCTTACAGGTAAACTGTGTTGGCATACACATAAAGCCTTGAGTCCCAAAGCATGTTTTTTCCGCCACCTGTCAATCCGTTTCCGAATAAAGCTAGATTACTGCAGGATGCAATTTAGTTTTGTGTTTTTGCTCCCTGACTGGGGCGTCTTTCTCTTCGGACAAAGATTACGGGAAATGTTTCGTGTCGAAATCCTCTAAATACAGCTTTGTTATCAGCATTTCTGCCTACCTAGTGTGTCTTTGTCTTTTCCCAAATTTTTCGATAATGCAGCTAGTCTTCTCATCCTCGTATCACGTTTTCTCTTTTTCGAATAAGACCAGCTGTAGCAATGCATGCTAATTTCTGACTGGCGTTAGCTGCACCAGTCTGCTGGGTGGGCAGCACCTAATACCCTGCGCCGACAATTGCTTTTAGGCACATCAAAGGGAAATGAACAGAGGTGAGGCGTGAACCAGCCCTCGTGAAGGAAGACAATTTAGAATTGGTCAGTGCAGAGCGGCTAACCAAAAGGCGCAACATCCAAAAAGGGCTGAAAGACAGCCTGTGTGTGTGTGTGGGTAACATTGGTTAATAAAAGCTCGGCTGCACTTGAATTCGTAAGCCATAAAATTGATGAGACTCCGAAGTAGCCTTCGTTCACAAATTAGACGAACGGTTTGCGGCGAAAAGACAAGTAGGACATTGGGCGTGTAAGGAAAAGACCTTACGTCCGGGCGCAGGTCGAAGAACTCCGCTTTTGGTGTTGATAGCGTGTCTTATTGACATAATGCATTATTCGTCTGACCCCCTTTGTGGAAAACCCGGCGGCATACGCAAGGTTCGAACTCACGGGCACATGTACTGCCTAAGAACAGCCAAAGCTCTGATCACCTGAACTACCGTAAACAAACTGGGAGCCGTCAGTTTTTCTTAGTTAAGTTAGATGATATAGTAACTTTGTATTGACCCAACAGAGAAAAAGTCGACGCCGCGGTGGGATTTGAACCCACGACAGCGAAGAGAAGGCTCTAGTACAGCCCACGCTCTAACCACCTGAACTACGAGTCCCAACCGCAAGATTTGGGTCAATATGAATTATTCAAAATCTGTCAAAACATCTTCAAATATAATAATTTGGCAAAACTAAGCAGGTAGTCACTAACGGTGGTTTCGATGGTTACATATGGAGTAAACGTCGTCCTATTTTCTTCACGTCATTAACCAGGCAGTGTCGGCTTTCTTGCGTCGTCTATTTACTTACATGTTTTTGATCATAAGAAAGCAAAAGAAATGAAAATCGTATTTTGAGTTACACCAAAGCATCCGTGAAAAAATCTTCTGACAACAGCTTCCATTTAACAACGTGGTGTTGTAGTCAATTAAGGTTGTCAGGAATTTGCATGAATAAACAAGACGAAACTTTCACGTTAGTTGTGAATAGTAGTCATGATCTTGTGTAAAAGCACAAAACGTTTTTTGGGTAAACCGAGAAATGAAATATCAATTCAGTTAAAAGGCTCGTTTATCATCCGCATACATTAATTATACCAAAAAATGAATGAAATGGGTAAGAAATGAACTTAGGTATCAACCACGTAATTCGCAACATAGTCAAGACTTAGTTACTGCGCAGTTGTAGAGATTCTAAATTTTTGCAATAACTGCACACATTCTGACCCAGAGAAAATCTCTAACAGATAGTTAACTCAGAAAAGCGCATATAAAATTCGCCTTCGGAGGTCCCCCACAAGACCTGATTAGAGAAGGTTCGTCGGCAAACTTACAGTAAAGAAATTTCATGTAGAGACATGTCGCATGGTTCTATATGACTGAATGTTAGTAAAACGTTTATCAATTATAAACCAGTTAAATTCGGGCTCTGTGTCCGAAGATAAACAGATAATTTTAATACGAAGACAGTCCGTGAGTTTAGGAATATGAGATTTCTCGTAGGTGAGGGAAATATTGATTCATTTTTAATGAAGGAATGTAATACTCTGTTGAAAAAATCAGTATACGAGTGGCAGCAAATTGCTCGACAGTAATTAAATTCAATGCAACATTTTTTGCTGCTCTGTGTGGTGTATTTGCCGGTTTCATCTTTAGAGTCGAGTAAAATCTTATTTTGCCATCGACTGTGGAACAAATATGTAGTATTAAATAAACGAGGGAAATGTGAAAATCGCTATGTGCAATCAGTTTCTTCGATTTAATTTTGAGTCATTTAGTCTGGTCGCAGGAGAGTAGGCCTCATGGTTTTGCCTTAAAACTTATGTCTGGTGTCTACATATGTACTAGGAATCACATCATCGAGCACTACTCGCAGTTACTCAGTAGATTACGGCCGACAATACTAGGGCCTAGAATTTTCGGCAAAACTAATGTCTTTGGTTTTTTGAACAGCTGATCGTTGAATAGATACTTAGATCATCCCGAGCTGTGGTTTTCTGGCAAGGACAATAGGCCACATGTGGTACTCCATTTCTTCTCGACTTTATTGATACACTTCCGAGGGTCAAGCCTACCCTGAAATCGCCATCATGGTTGAGAATATTTCCTGAATTTCATATTGTTTCTTCGGTCACATATGTTTTCCAGGCGTCTGAATTGGTTTTCAAAAGCATAAACGACTGTCGTCTCCGAGAAAATACTGGAGCAAATGAGTTCTGGGTTAGTTTAAAATAAGTTGTTTTGGAAAATATGACTATAATTGAATAAGGAAACACGATCGCTGTCTCCTTCTTCAAGACTACTTCCTGGGACTCGTCTCTTCGCTTCTATTGGCAATGAGTATTATTCTTGTATAAACTTTTTTTACTTAGTTTGAATTACGTTTGGTGCGGTACTTTTCGACTTTGATTTAGATGCATACCCGTAGTTTTGACACTAACAGTTCTTACCTTCCATCTCACACCACCCAAAGCAAGCAGTTAGTGATGCGGTCCTACAGACGTCCCCATCATCTGTGAACGTATCGGTCGCATTGTCTTTTGTTTACGCTACCTGTCATTTCTTTTGTTGCGCTTTAACTGGTACAAAATATTGTGTCACATTCCCCGCATCTGCGTCCTAGGCATTGCAATCTTCACTGTTTAAAGCTTTGGTCATAACTTGGGCGAAGGCTCAATGGCACAGACTCTGTTTACACTTTCCATATTTTTTCGGCTGATTGAGGTATTATTTGAGAAAAAAGTGGAAAAAAGGAAATTAAAACTTTCTGGGATTCAGAAGTTTACGCTGTTACCGTTAGTATACGCTGTCGCTGGTTTAGCCACTCGTTCTGCGACTGCACTAGTGTCTGGACGGTGATAACTATATATTTGCATACATGTATTATTCGGCGACAGCGAATGTTAGGTCGCGAGGCACCGATGAACTTCAGGTCTGGAGGTGCTTCTGACCCATTTAAGAGACACCAACTGTGAACCATCCATATCGTGTGTGACAGCGCGCTTGTGTTAGTCACTCAAAGCACAGGGACTAGGCCGGAGTCGCGCCATTTAGGATGCCTACCGCCCCCCCCCTTTTTTAATGCTAACTAACATCCTAGTTAAGTGTTTGTTGTGGACCATGAGCTGAGGTAGTACGCCAAGATGCGGGTTTACGCCGTGACAGCAACCTGCGACCTCCCATCTCCGGTCTTCTTGATTATGTTTTGAACCGGGGTCTGGGTGGGCGAGGAGAGGACGAAGTAGACGCTGTGCAAGTCTATGCAAACTAGTCCTCGCGCAATTCACCTTCCCTGATCCCACTCTGCTGTGGAGAACACGGTGGGCCTCGTCGAAGCCGACAGTTAAACTGTCTTCAATCACCAAGATGACGGTCAGAGATATGACTGCTTGAATGAAGCTAACATAAGCCTAAAACAATAAGCCCTCATTCGTCTTTGTTTTGCCTGCTGATGCAGTAGGTGTGCTATTTCATGAAATGTCATGAGTTAGCACAGAAAAATCCCTATAACGCAAAACTCGCTCAACCAGCGTTCTCCAAAGTCTAGTGACAGTGAAAAAACGACTGTCCTTAAGAAAGAACACATAGTTTGGTTTGCAAATTCATATTTGCTAAAGTGAAAATGATAAATTTTTCCTGAAAACTCTAATTTTAGAAAATGACTATATCACAAATAGTTTATCTAGGGCTAATTATAATGGTGCATAGCGAAGGGAGACGCGTAAACTTGCAAAAATAATGAAAAATTAGTAACAAATACAAAAGCGCAGTTCTTTGTTAGTTGTCCATTTGCATTAATCACAGCAGAAAGTGTTTCAGACATGGAAGTGGCTAGGTTGCCTAGGGTGGATTGTTCGACGTGGTTGTCTAAATTGAAATCAAGTTTCTCATGCATGGTCAGTTTCTTATTTGCCTTATGCTACTGCCTTTGATAATTGCGAAAAGATTTTCAACGCGACTGAGATCCGGGCTGTTGGCAGGGAGGAAAAATGACTGAAGACTTCATGCGGACAGGCTAGCTGTTGTCTTAAAAGTCAGCTTACGATTGAAAACGTTACTTGCTTCATACCTCTTTAGAGCGATGGACAGGAGCATTGTCGTGCAAAATTATGGCGTCCAGTCGGTGTCGGCGGATGTTGAAAACATCCTTCCCAATGTTGACGAACGTCCTGCTGATGATGGTGCCCGTAGTCGACCGATAGCCTGGCCGTTCTCCGAATCTAATGGCCATGTAAACCATTAACCGTTGACAGTTCTTGAAGGTTGCCATCGGCGCTGTGTGCTCCCGTGGGAATTTTTTTCCGCACGTGAGCATCTGGATCGACTTCGTTAGCTTGTCCAAAAATAGGATCTCATCGAGAAGTGAATGCTCTTATAAAATGAAAGCCGGTGGTCAATATATTTCTTAGCAAACAAAAGACGTTCCCTAATAAGTATTCGACTTAAAAGCGGCTTTTTCACCGTATGTTGTT